ACTTGTTGAAGCAAAATTCTGTAAAACACTTTTGAAGTCTACCTCACTACTTGCCATTGATGGTGTGCTAATATTTGTTTAGGGAACTCCATTTTTCACATTATAGATAAGTTTGTATTATGTATTATTTTTTTATTTGTTCCGTGGAAAATGGTTGCCAAAAATGTTGCTGTGTGTTTCAGTGTTGCCTGCAGATGTCCAGCAGCTGTTGGTGATTAAAGAAGAGGTTCCCTCTGAGTGGAGCCTCAGTCTGGACCAGGAGGATCCAGAGCCCCTACACATAAAAGAAGAACAGGAGGAACTCTGGACCAGTCAGCAGGGAGAGCAGCTTAATGGACTGGAGGAGGCTGATATCACCAGGTTCCCATTCACTGCTGTTACTGTGAAGAGTGAAGATGAGGAAGAGAAACCTCAGTCTCCACAGCTTCATCAAAGCCAAACTGAGGACAACAGAGAGGCAGAGCCTTCAGCCAGCAGCTCAGCTACGCAGATAAAAACAGAAACTGATGGAGGATCAGAACCTGCTGGGAACCTTGATCCAGATAGTCATTTACAACCAGATACTGCTGAAAAAGCTTCAGACACTGAAGTCAGTGATAATGACTGGCAAGAACCTTTGTCAGATTCTGAAGCTGAAAGTGAAGACAGTGACAATGGTTGGAAGGAGACCAGAGCACCTGAGTCAGGTGTAAATGCTCTGAAATATAAGGAAGCTCCTGTAAGTGATGTGGGATGTAATGCTGGGAAAGAATCATTTAGCTGCTTTGAATGTGGTAAACAATATCAACACAAGGGGTCTCTTCAGAGACACATGATGTGTCATTCAGAAAAAAGGTCCTCCAACCGTCTGGTTAATAAGAAATGTTTCAGAAGGAAGGAAAATGTAGATTCACAGATGAGAGTCCACACAGGAGAGAAACGATTTGGCTGTGATGTTTGTGGTAAAAGATTTACAGTCCAGGGAGCTCTGAACAGACACATGAGAGTCCACACAGGGGAGAAACCATTTGGCTGTGATGTTTGTGGTAAAAGATTTAACCAGCATCCACATCTTATTAGACACACGAGAGTGCACACAGGAGAGAAACCATTTGGCTGTGATGTTTGTGGGAAGAGATTTACAGATCAGGGAAATCTCAAGCAACACATGAGAGTCCACACAGGAGAGAAACCATTTGGTTGTGACGTTTGTGGGGAAAGATTTACAAAAAAGTTAACTCTTAGGAAACACAAGAGCGTCCACACAGGGGAGAAACTATTTGGCTGTGATATTTGTGGGGGGAGATTTACAAAACAGTTAACTCTCAAGAGACACATGAGCGTCCACCCTGGAGAGAAACCATTTGTCTGTGATGTTTGTGGAAATAGATTTAACCAGCAAGCACATCTTAAGAGACACAGGAGCATCCACACAGGAGAGAAACCATTTGTCTGTGATGTTTGTGGGAAGAGCTTTGCAGATCAGGGAAATTTCAATAGACACATGAGAGTGCACACAGGAGAGAAACGATTTGGCTGTGATGTTTGTGGGATGAGATTTAAACTGCGTCCACATCTTAAGAGACATATTGGGCAGCATTTCCCACACATAGACTTTAGTTAGGTGGGGCACCCAGGTATATTTGGTGACCTATTTTAGCGTTCTGCAGAAAAACAGTTGTTATCTATAGGCGCTTTTCGACCAAAAGTACCAGGGATAAAGCGATGCACAGGCATCATTATTTGTAACCATGATCCATGAGCAACATTTATTAATGAACATCAGATTTGACTGTAATATAATTTCAATTTCAATTTTATTTATATAGCGCCAAATCACAACAACAGTTATCTCACAGCGCTTTTCATAAAAGAGCAGGTCTAGACCGTACTCTGTGATGATATTTACAGAAGCCCAACAGTTCCCACCAAGAGCAAGCACTAGGCGACAGAGGCAAGGAAAAACTTCCTTTTAAGAGGCAGAAACCTCGAGCAGAACCATGGCTCAGGGTGGGCGGCCATCTGCCTCGACCGGTTGGGGGGTGAGAGAGAGGGTGAGAGAGAGAGAGAGAGGGTGAGAGAGAGAGAGGGTGAGAGAGAGAGATGTAAGGAGAGAGAGAGGGGAGGGAGGCAGCCTACACAATATACGCACAGAGGTACACACAGTGAAGGTGATGTTGCTATAGACCAAATGAAAAATGGTACAGATATTTATAATAGTCTTAATGGTAACAATCGTAATGTTAATGATTATAATAACAATAATGACAATAAGACTAGCAACAATAGTCGTTGTAGCAGAGGGTGTCGAGCAGGAACACGGGGGCAGCAGGTGACCCGCAACCACAGATCCAGACTCCACGGCTCCTGAGCCAGAAAACCTGCAGGAAGTGATAGGAGAGAGGAGAGAGACGAGAAAGCACAAGACTACCAGAAAGGGGAGAAGTTGTGTTAGTAACATGCAATAATGGGATGAGGTTGCATACAGAGGGAGAGAAAGTAGAGGAGAGAGGAGCTCAGTGCATCATGGGAAATCCCCCGGCAGTCTAGGCCTATAGCAGCATAACTAAGGGATGGTTCAGGACTCACCTGAGCCAGCCCTAACTATAAGCTTTATCAAAGAGGAAAGTCTTAAGCCTACTCTTAAATGTGGAGATGGTGTCTGCCTCCTGAACCCAAACTGGAACCTGGTTCCACAGGAGAGGAGCTTGATAGCTGAACGCTCTGGCTCCTAGTCTACTTTTGGAGACTCTAGGAACCACAAGTAACCCTGCATTCTGGGAGCGCAGTGCTCTGGTGGTGTAGTAAGGTACTATGAGCTCTTTAAGATAAGATGGTGCCTGACCATTAAGAGCTTTGTAGGTAAGAAGAATGATTTTAAATTCTATTCTGGATTTTACTGGAAGCCAATGCAGAGAAGCTAAAACAGGAGAAATGGGATCTCTTTTCCTGGTTCCTGTCAGAACACGTGCTGCAGCATTCTGGATCAGCTGAAGAGTCTTAATGGACTTTTTCGAGCAGCCTGATAATAAGGAATTGCAGTAATCCAGCCTAGAAGTAACAAATGCATGGACTAGTTTTTCTGCATCATTTTTAGACAGGATGTTCCTGATTTTCCTAATATTACGTAGGTGAAAAAAGGTGGTCCTTGAAATTTGCTTAATGTGAGACTTAAACGACATGTCCTGATCAAAGATAACTCCAAGATTCCTCACAGTGGTGCTGGAGGCCAGGGCGATGCCATCCAGGGAAACTATATCTTTAGATAATGCGTCACGGAGGTGCTTAGGCCCCAGAGCAATAACTTCAGTTTTATCTGAGTTTAACATGAGAAAATTACAGGTCATCCAGGTTTTAACATCCTGAAGGCACATTTGAAGTTTAGCTAACTGATGAGTTTCATCTGGCTTGATCGATAGATATAACTGAGTATCATCTGCATAACAATGAAAGCTTATGGAATATTTCCTGATAATATTGCCTAAAGGAAGCATATATAAAGTGAAGAGGATTGGTCCGAGGACAGATCCTTGAGGAACTCCATGAGTAACTTTGGCATGCATGGAGGACTCATCGTTAACATGTACAAACTGAAATCGATCTGATAAATAGGACTTAAACCAGTTTAGAGCGGTTCCTTTAATGCCAATGAAATATTCCAGTCTCTGCAATAGGATCTGATGGTCAATGGTATCAAATGCAGCACTAAGATCTAATAAAACCAGTACAGAGACAAGTCCTTTGTCTGATGCAATAAGGAGGTCACCAGTGCTGTCTCTGTGCTATGATGAGCTCCAAATCCTGACTGAAAATCCTCAAATAAACTATTGCTCTGTAGTAAGTCACACAGCTGTTTAGCAACTGCTTTCTCCAGAACCTTAGAGAGAAATGGAAGGTTAGATATAGGTCTATAGTTGGCTAAAACATCCGGATCAAGTTTGGGCTTTTTCAGAAGAGGTTTAATTACAGCTACTTTAAAGTACTGTGGTACATAGCCTGTTGATAAAGATAGATTGATCATATCTAGTATAGAGGTGCTGACTAAGGGTAAAACATCTTTAAGCAGCCTAGTCAGGATGGGGTCCAAGAGGCAGGTTGATGGTTTAGATGAAGAAATTATTGAAGTAAGTTGGTAAAGATTGAGGGAAACAAAACAGTCTAAACATGTATCTGGTTCTACAGCTGTTTCTAAGGTTCCTGAGTTAAGAGATAAGTCGGTGCCAGTTGAGGGCAGGTCTTGGTGAATTTTGTCTCTAATAGCTAGAATTTTACTATTAAAGAAGCTCATGAAATCGTAACTACTGAGAGCTATGGGAATACTTGGCTCAATAGAGCTGTGACTCTCTGTCAGCCTGGCTACAGTGCTGAAAAGAAACTTTGGGTTGTTCCTATTTTCCTCTATTAATGACGAGTAGTACGCTGCTCTAGCATTACGGAGGGCCTTCCTATAAGTTTTAAGACTATCTTGCCAAATTAAACGAGAATTTTCCACTTTGGTGGAACGCCAATTCCTCTCAAGTTTCCGCGATATTTGCTTTAATTTGCGAGTTTCAGTATTATACCATGGAGCTAACCGTCTTTGTTTTAGTATTTTCTTTTTTAAAGGGGCTACAGAGTCGAGTGTCATTCGCAGCGAGCCTGCAGCACTATCAACAAGATGATCGATTTATAATGAAAAACTATAGGCTTGCTTGACCATTAAAGCTTTTTTGTGGGGGAGTATAATGAAGAGACACACGATAAAGTCCGTTTTAGCACATTTAATAGTAGCCAAACAAACTGGATAAAGCCATAAAGTTCTTAAAATAACTCCAGCACAGAGAAAGCAACACAAAAATAAAATTGCGAAGTTGGAAGGTTATTAAAACATTTCCAGCCGACAACAGCTGCAGGACTCACGTCTGTGTCGCCTGAGTGTCAGAAGAATGTGATGTTTAACGAGCTTAATTACCTGCTGTAATCAGCTGTTACGCTTGTTTTGGAGAGGAGGAGACCGACTTTGGCTCTGTGTAAAAACCTCCTGACTGATGAAAACTTAAAACAACAACTCAGGACCCAGTTTTTAGCGTAAACACACCACTGCACGCTGGCTGCTATTTCCAATATATTTAACGCAGCTTATTAAGCTACAATGACACGCTGGATATTTTACAAGCACGGACCACTAAAAGCCACAGTGAACACACCAGTGCAGATGTCATTTGTTAGCTACCAGGTTGGTTTTGTTTTCATAGCCTACGTCATTAACGAGCCTCCTCCACATGCGGCGCACCTGCTGCTGTAAACTGAATTGCAGTTGGAACAATCCAGCACACGAGTTCTGTGTCTTCTTGGCGATTTTATAAAATATACTGCTGATGGAGAAAGTCAACAGAGCACACACTTACAGGGGGGAGGGATACAGAAAGAGGCGGGACAGACCACTTTGCAGCAGAGTTTTGTCCATACACAGACTGACACCTCCAAATATGGATAAAGAAAGGATTTTGGTTAAAATGCTGCTTACTCTCGAATGAAGCCACCTATGTAGACAAGTCATTGACACAAAGTTATTCCAAATGTTCTCTTTATCAAAGTTGTTTGTAAAGGAGAGGGAAGGTAACAAATGTTTTCCAAACATCTTCTGATCTTTGTGGTATTGTGATGGAGGAAATAAAGATCCAGTCATCTAAAGTTCTGGGTTGCATTGCAGTGTAATAGATGGAAGAGGAGACCTTTATAGTGGACTTGACTTCTGATTTTTTATCTTTTTAAAATCTATATAAACAGAAAGTGATTTTATCAATGTGGGTTTGTGATTATTTCTTGGTTTGTTACTGACACTTTGGTAACACTTTATTTTGCAGGTCTCATATTTTTGTAAAATTTCCTAGAAATTAATCAATATGTAACTTTAAACTCCAGGAAGGTTCCAGGAAATGGATGGTTGTTATTATAGGGAAAGTGGAGACAGTACTTAATTGCCAGAGCCAATAAACTAATAAACTAGCTAATGTAACTTTTTTGATAATTGTCTTAATACCCAGTAATAAGTAAAGTAATACAGTATCTCAGAAGAGTGAGTACACCCCTCACAAATTTAGTAAATATTTGATTATATCTTTTCATGTGATGTTGAAGAAACTGAAAGAAATGACACTTTGCTACAATTTAATGTAGTGAGTGTACAGCTTGTATAACAGTGTAAATTTGCTCATCACACAGCCATTAATCTCTAAACTGCTGGCAACAAAAGTAAGTACCCCACTAAGTGAATTATTTTCCAGCACTGCCTTAACCAGGGTACCCCCAGGATTCTCAAAGTTAAATTTAAGTCTTTTTAAGACATGTTTAATACCACCTAGGATGAAATTTAATGCCAACTTCACTGCCGTATAATTGAAATCTGTATGAATTTTAAGGCAGAGAAAATTATTTACGAAATTACCTCAATTCAATAAAACATTTTATTATAATACATTCATATTTAATACGCAATAGCTTTTCGGGGTGTGGTTGTACTCTGATAACAAAATGAATCAAGGAAGTCACTTTGTGATAAAGTGGTGGGGACGGGTTCAGATTAGGGGTGTGATGATACACTTAGCTCACATGCACTATTCACAATATTGGGTTCACAAGAACAACACTTTATTAGATGAAATATTCAATGCTGAAATATACTGAACCAAATTCTAAACGCAACACGAGCTGAACTGAAAGATCTAAGACTTTCTTTATGTACACAAAAGGCCTATTTCTCTCAAATATTGTCCACAAATTGTCAAAATCAGTGGTAGTGAGCACTTCTTTTGCCGAGATAATTCATCCACCTCACAGGTGTGGCATATCAAGATGCTGATCAGACAGCATGGGTATTGCACAGGTGTGCCTTAGGCTGGCCACAATAAAAGGCCTTAGGCTGGCCACAATAAAAGGCCACTAGAAAATGTACAGTTCCATCACACAGCACAATGCCACAGATGTTGCAAGTTTGAGTTTTGAGCACTGACGGGCTGAACCCCCCTCACCCTTGGCACTGTGTAAATTTAACCAGCACCGCTGAAAAAGCTTATTAGGACTTGGCTGTTCACTTTCCCTGGTCAGTACATTTAGTTTTAAGACTGTTCGCAAGACAAACTTATCAGCCCGGTTAAAATGACAGTTAACATGAGTTACAGTTGCACCTAGCTAAGCAAGCTAGCTAGCTCCGCACACGGCCGTTAGCTCCGCCGTATCGTCACTTCCGGGCACTTCCTGGTTGCAAAAACTCGACATGGCGGCGCCCTAACGACCAAACTCGAGGCTTCAAAACGGCAGTCCACAGACCAACAGGTGACATCACGATGGACTACGTCCATTTCTTATATACAGTCTATGGTTTAAACATTAATGTGTGTGATGTTATTTTGAGGGGACAGCAAATTTACACTGTTATACAAGCTGTACACTCACTACTTTACTTTGGTTTGGGGTTTTCAGGTTTTATTTTGTTTTTTTTGGTTCCATGTTTTGTGTTTCTATTGTTTTGCCTCGTATATTTTTTGATGATTTTATGTTTGGTCTAGTACTGTTTTCACCATCCCCTGTCATGTACTAATTCATGTCTTAGTGTCATACCTGCAAGCGCTCCAGCGGCAGCCACCCACCTGTTTCCTGTGCAGCTAGCGCCCTGGCAGCTAGCCACCTGCCTGATCTTCTGCCTGCCTCCCCTGGGAAAGGGGATTCATAGCAGGCTAAGGACACTGGGATTATGACTCTCCTGGCTTTCTTTTCCATGAAAGCCAGGGAGTCAGAAATGGCACAGACAGCTAAAGTAAGGCTTACCAGCATGAAGGCTAGTCTTCCCCTGGGTTCCCCGTCTGAACCACCTCCGGAGAGGCCGTTGTTGATCTGATCGAAGCCTGTTCCTGACTCTCCGTCAGTGGTCCAACCGGCACCTGCTCCTGATTCTCTGTCAGTGGCCCGACTGGCTCCTGCTAAGCTGTTCAGCTGCTGCTGTCCCCACATCATGCTGTCAAGCCGCAGCAAGTCCCTGTCTCTACCAGGCAACAGCAGCCTCCAGACCTTGCTGAGCCACAACAGACCCCTGACACCCCTGAGCTTCCTGCCTCAGAAACTCCCTGACTATAACTGCTGTTGCTTAACTGCTCCTACCCTTGGACTCTGAAAAGCAGCTAGCTCTGGTTTCCCCTGGGCTACAGCAGACCCCAGCTCTAGAGTCACTGCTGTCTCCAGTTCCCCTGGCTCAACTGGCTTCTAGCCCAACAGCACCGTCACCAGTTAACAGTCCAGCTCTTGACCTCCAGTCATACCCAAACGCCTGTCTCCAGCCTTGCTGCACTGTTGGTGGCTCTCAGTCCAGTTGTACAGTCATCAGCCTCCAGTTCTACTGTCCAGTTGCCGGTAGCAAGCCCAGCTGCGCAGTTGTCTGTCCAGTCGCCTCTGGTTCCGTTCTACTGGTTCCCTGCTGGCTTTCAGTCCTGCTCTACCCCCTGAAGGTCTTTGCCTTCATCGCCGGCCTCCCGCTCGACCTCAGGAGAGGCCTTGCCTTCATTGTTGTTCATTCTCGTCACAGGCCTCCTGCTTTTTGATCGAAAACGTGAGGGGTGTACTTACTTTGATTCTGGAATTCATCTAGCTGATCTGATTGAACAAAAATATATTTATGTAATTTTAAAAATAAGCACACCTGCAGCGTTAATCATGGCTCATGACATGAACATTTAACATTCAGCTCAATAGTCAAGGGTTTGTTTTTAGCTTTACACCATTATTAGCTAAAGCCTATGGCATTTCACACTACTTCAATTAGCCTTGTGGCTAGCGGACTTTCCCTCTCCTCAAAGCTTAACAAATGACATGTATAATTCATACTATTACTCACCGCTGGTTTAAATCACTGCCTCTCCCGACAGAACACCACAGTTGAATTTCGCTCTGCATTCATGTTGTTTATACAGAGCAGCTGACCTTAGAGACAGCAACAAGCTAGCAAATGATGTCATCAGAAGGCGACATCCCATGTTCTTCGAATGAGTCCAAGTGAAACGAGTCTATTTTCACTCTACCAGCGGAAATTTGTTTCAAAACTTGTGTAGAACTCAGATCAACAAATTGCAAATGCTTTTTTAAATAATTTATCATTTAAAACTGGACTCTCAAATGCCTATTTGAAAGTTGTAAACGTTAGGATCACAAATTATGTTTATTTGTAAATTTTGTATATATATAAAAAATATAGATATCTTTTATTTGTGGAGTTTGTGTATTTGCAGATCTGTTTTCTATTTGCTAAATATTTTTTTGAGTTTACAAATCTTAATTTTGTGGAAAGTGTTTCATTTTTACAGATTACACACTTGCACACGGAACACTCATCTGTAATACAAATAATAATGAAACAAAATTAACTCCATAGAAAACTTTCTTTGAACTTCTAAACGTAGATAGCTTCAGTAGGCAGCATTTTAACCACAATACTTCTTTATACATATTTTAAAATAAATACAAGAGAAAGACAAAAACAAAATACAACAAAACACTGCTGCTGCACAAATGCTGTGGTTCTTACCAATGGGCTTGGTAAATAATTTCTATCCTGTGTGGACTATCACGTGTGTCTTAAGATGTATCAGCTGGTTAAATCTTTTACCACACACGTCACAGCCAAATGGTTTCTCTCCTGTGTGGAGTCTCATGTGTGTCTTAAGATTTACCTGTACTGTAAATTTCTTACCACAAATATCACAGCCAAATGGTCTCTCTCCTGAATGAACTCTAATGTGTCGCTTAAGCTGTATCTGCTGGTTAAATCTTTTACCACAAACATCACAACCAAATGGTTTCTCCCCTGTGTGGACTCTCATGTGTGTCTTAAGATTCCACTGTTCTCTAAATTTCTTACCACAAACATCACAGCCACATGGTTTCTCTCCTGAATGAACTCTCATGTGTTCCTTAAGATGTGTCTGCTGGTTAAATCTTTTACTACAAACATCACAGCCAAATGGTTTCTCTCCTGTGTGGAGTCTCATGTGTGTCTTAAGATTTACCTGTACGGAAAATTTCTTCCCACAAAGATCACAGCCAAATGGTTTCTCTCCTGTGTGCACTCTTGTGTGTTTCTTAAGTTGTATGTGCTGGTTAAAGCGTTTACCACAAAGATCACAGCCAAATGGCTTCTCTCCAGTGTGGCATCTCATGTGTGTCTTAAGATTCCCCTGTTCTTTAAATTTCTTACCACAAACATCACAGCCAAATTTTTTCTCTCCTGTGGGGCCTCTCATCTGTGAATCTACATTTTCCTTCACTCTGAAACATTTCTTATTATCCACACGGTTGGAGGACCTTTTTCCTAAATGACACATAATGTGTTTCTGAAGAGACCCCTTATAGTGATATTGTTTACCACATTCAGGGCAGCTAAAGGATTCTTTCCCAACATTACATTCTGCATCACTTACAGGAGCTTCCTTATATTTCAGAGCATTTCCACCTGACTCAGGTGCTCTGGTCTCCTTCCAACCATTGTCACTGTCTTCAGTTTCAGCTTCAGAATCTGACAAAGGTTCTTGCCAGTCATTTTCACTGACTTCAGTGTCTGAAGCTTTTTCATCAGTATCTGGTTGTAAATGACTATCTGGATCAAGGTTCCCAGCAGGTTCTGATCCTCCATCAGTTTCTGTTTTTATCTGCGTAGCTGAGCTGCTGGCTGAAGGCTCTGCCTCTCTGTTGTCCTCAGTTTGTCTTTGATGAAGCTGTGGAGACTGAGGTTTCTCTTCCTCATCTTCACTCTTCACAGTAACAGCAGTGAATGGGAACCTGGTGATATCAGCCTCCTCCAGCCCATTAAGCTGCTCTCCCTCCTGACTGATCCAGAGTTCCTCCTGTTCTTCTTTTATGTGTAGGGGTTCTGGGTCCTCCTGGTCCAGACTGGGGCTCCACTCAGAGGGAACCTCTTCTTTAATCACCAACAGCTGCTGGACATCTGCAGGCAACACTGAAACACACAGCAAAAATTGTTGGCAGCCATTTTCTAGGAAACTAATACAGTGCATCAAACCAGTTAATACACCCCTCACATTTTTGTAAACATTTGATTATATCTTTTCATATGACAACACTGAAGAAATGACACTTTGCTACAATGTAAAGTAGTGAGTGTACAACTTGTATAACAGTGTAAATTTGCTGTCCCCTCAAAATAACACATCACACAGCTATAAATGTATTAATCTCTAAACTGCTGGAAACAAAACTGAGTACACCCCTAAGTGAAAATGTCCAAATTGGGCCTGAAGTGTCAATATTTTATGTAGCCACCATTATATTCCAGCACTGCCTTAACCCTCTTGGGGCTGGAGGTCACCAGAACTTCACAGGTTGCCACTGGAATCCTCTTCCACACTTCTCCAAAGTCATTGCAGACAACCAAAACAACCCTAAAGTCCTCTTCTCAACAATTGATCGTTTAATTAACCCAGTTTTAACAAAATCTAACAGCATGTCAACAAACTCCAAATGTGAAGACTTTGCACTCCACTTCAGAAGTAAAACAGACACTATTAGATCAAATATATCACTACATCAGCGGGTACATTTTAATAAAGTGGATCCTATATTTACATCTGGGGAAACATATGCATAGTTTTGACCTGGTTGACGCTGACATGCTTTGTAAAATTGTTACTCTACTGAAACCAAAAACTTGCCGGTTAGATCCTATCCCCTCTTCTCTTTTTAAAAACACATTGGGCCTGATTTACTAAAGGTTTGCGTAAGAAAAAACGTGTGCCAACTTGATATCACCAGCAAATTAGCTGATCCACTAATAGTGTGCACACAGAATGACATCTTTCAAAAGCGAAAGATAGCACCTGTTGTTAATTTAGTACTTTTGCCTTTATGAATATGCAATTTGGGACGTCATATGCAAATACATTTATTTACTACACACAACGTGATCTACCAAGCCTAAACGCTATTTCACTTGAGTGCAACAGCCTCTATATTTAATACGTTTGATTGTTGCTTGTTGCATTAACATTCATTCCAATAAAGCAAATTTTGTTTCGACCTGGCTTCTTTTCTCCTTGAGATGGAAGAATTTAGAAAGTAGCGTGGCGCTGCGGAGAACCCCTAGCTGCAGTAGTGCATGGATCACATGTAAAATTCATTCACCCAAAGGGAACGATCACCAACTGTTCACAGCGTGCCGGTGGTAATAGCAGCACAACCCATTCTAGGTATCGAAGAAAGAATGGGCCGTTGGGGCGTACAGGGACAGGAAATCGCGGAGCGACCAGGCACAGTGCGGACGGTCGGTGATTGTTCCCTCTGGCTGGATGAAGCACGATCTGCTGGCATTTTCTGCCGTCTGGGTCATTCCAGCACACTGTATCTGTTTCTGCTGCCGTTTCCCAAAGCAGTTTTTTCAGGCGTTTTGTCCCAAGTACTTGGTGCAATCTCAGGCAGGTTGGGCAGGTACATACGATTTCCACATAATCGGGATGCACTGAACGAAACAAACAAAGGGTTTTACTCAGTGGCTGCTTTCCCTCCTGACTCTCCATGGCGGAAACCATTAAAACAGGTAAAACCCTCATTTAACTTTAACTTTTATTGAGAAATCATGTTGACATATGAAGTACATCACGTTGCTTTACCATTTTTAACTTTATTACAGGAACATCAGAACTCAGGTGTGGGTGGCGGGGTAACCAAATTACTTCAATATTATTTATGTTATTCATTTAAACTTTCAATCTGTGCACAATTATTAAGAAGCAGCAGTGTTTACAAAAAATCTGATCTAACAGGCATAACATATTCCGTCCACTTGGACCATATCCTACAGAAAGTGTCCCTCTGCACTTTGAGTGAAAAGGACAGCTTCTCCATTGTGTAGATCTCTTGCACAATGTTTATCCAGTCCTCAGTTGTTGGTGGTTCTAGTTTGAGCCATCTCCTCGTTAGAGCCTTTTTACTTGCTACCAATAAGATGTATAGAAGTTTCTTGTCCTTCGAGTCCAGTTTATCCGTTCATATATTACTTAACAAAACCCTCATTTAAATACTCCCACCTCCATTGTGTTGTCATCTACGCAATAATTCTGAGTAAATCACCCATAACAGGTATTAAATTTGCACGTGCAATTTTTTAGAATGCACAGGTAATTTAGTACTCTTTATTCGGGATGTTAGTTAATCGGACGCATTATGGCTTTTTAGTGAATATCTACTGACCATCGTGAACCATTCCCTACAGATGGGCGTTTTCCCTACTGCCTTTAAAACTGTTATGTTGAAGCCCTTTCTGAAGAAGAAGAATTTAGATGCTACAGTACTCAATAACTACAGACCGTAATCCAATCTGCCATTCCAAAAGTAAAATTTTAGAGAAAGTTTTTTTTAATCAACTGAGTAATTTTATTAACTCCCACAATATTTATGATAAATACCAGTCTGTTTTTCGAACTAATCACAGTACTGAGACAGCATTAGTAAGAATTACTAGGATATGAAGAAACCATCAATATTAATGCTACTTGATCCAAGTGCAGCTTTTGATACAGTAGATCACTCAATTATTTTAAACACACTGCACAATCTGATTGGCCTCTCAGGTACTGTTTTTAATTGGTTCTGATCATCCACAGGGCTTAATTTTAGGCCCTACCCTTTTTAATCTGTACATGCTGCCGCTTGCAGACGTCATCAGAAGTTTCACAGTTATGCCGATGACACCCAGCTCTACATTGCCGTGTCCCTGATTACCCAGGACCGGTAGATGCCCTTTTTAACTGTTTTCCAAACATACAGTCATAGATGGCAGAACATTTTCTGCAGCTCAATTAGAACAAAACAGAAGTATTGGTCATTGGTTCGGAATCTCAGACAGAGAAACTCAAAATTAAACTGCGAATGCTGGCACTAAATGCCTGAGATAAGGTGAAAAAAACTGGGACTTATCTTTGACTGAGATCTCAGTTTTGAGTCATATTAGAAATATTTCTAAGACTGCTTTTTATCATCTCAAGAACATTGCTAGAGTACGACCCTTTCTCTCTCAAGCAAATACAGAGACAATCCAGGATTGATTACTTTAACGCTCTGCTTTCTGGTCTTCCTAAAAATAAAAATCTCTAAACTGCATCTGCTTCAAAAAGCTGCTGCACGTCTTTTGACCTGTTTAAAGGCAAACTAAAGACATACCTATTTAACCAAGCTTTTAAATGAGCTGTAATTATTTGATTTAGTTTAAACGTTATTTATTTATTATAAATTTATTGTTGATGGGCTACTTTTCTAGTGCTTTTTGTTCAGGGGTCCTGGGGCTTTAGTGTTTCGGGGGTGGATTGATGTTTGGGCTTGATCTTCTGATTTTTCCAGGTTCTTATTTGTGGTTGCAGGGTTGGGCTTATGGGCATTATATGGGGTGGTACTATTACATTACTGTAGTTTTTAACCTATTGTTTTTAAATGAGTCTGTAGTGTGAAGCTCTTTATGTTACATGTATTTGTATGAAAAGTGCTATATAAATAAAGATTGATTCATCTTCTACTCCTCCATGACGACATCACGGAGCTGTTGGATGTTAGAGACCTTGCGCTCCTCCACTTTCCGTTTGAGGATGCTCCACAGATGCTCAATAGGGCTTAGGTCTGGAGACATGGTTGGTCAGTCCATCACCTTTACCATCAGCTTCTTTAGTGAGGCAGCGGTCGTCCCTGCTCAGTTTCAGGGGCCATCTTGATGTAGAGCAACCATTCTTTTTTCAGTTCTTTACCATGAGGCGCCATGTTAAACTTCCAGTAACCAGTATGAGGAAGTGTGAGAGCAGTAACACCAAATTTACCACACCTGAGTCACATGACACCGGGGAAGGAAAATGGCCAATATGACATTTTCACTTGGGGATGTACTCACTTTTGTTGCCAGTGGTTTAGACATTAACGGCTGTGTGATGTGTTATTTTGAGGGGAAAGCAAATTTACACTGTTATACAAGCTGCACACTCACTACTTTACATTGTAGCAAAGTGTCATTTCTTCAGTGTCATCACATGAAAAGATATAATCAAATATTTACAAAAATGTGACAACAAAGTCATACCTGTCTTCCTTCTAGGCATCCCCTCTCCACTTGTGATTCTCCTCTTTAGAATCCTTGCTTGCAGCTCGGAGATGATTTTTTCAGATTTCAGGGCATATAAGTTGTATCTTCTGCTGTTTTTTTTGTAAAGCCTTCTGAAACTAAAATTACATAAATTTCCATTCAATATCAGTTAAGTCATTTTAACAATAACCTTGAAAGCAAATGTAAAAAAACGTGTAAAACGTACATCTCTTTGCCTTCTGCTGTTTTCATTGTTGGTCGGTTTCGGTGGAAGTTATAGTCCAGAGCAGCAAGCAGAACTTTTGCCTCATAAACTGGGGGACTGAAGGTGAAGCGCTTGCTGACATACATCAATACATGATTCTGAAATGCCTCTAGGTCTGCAGTTGATCTGATTTAAAAAAAACAAATAAAACATTTATATAATTTAACAAAAAAAACCCACAAATAGTCATAATGTACATCTGTGTGAAACATGTATACACTTTACCTGAAGCGCAGGTATTTATGCACATCCTTCAGCCAACGCTTACTGAGAACAATGTCCACTAAAGCTTTGTGGCACCTGGAGTCTTTCTGGATCCACGCCTTTCTTTCTTTCAGGTACCCATGTTGACACCTTCCATTAGTCCAGGTGGAAGTGTCACAAACATGTTGAGTGATGCCAAGCCACAGTGCCTTTGAAAAACAGAACAGCACTATTAAATGATCCATCATATGGAAATGAAAAAACAGACGAAGATGAAAAATATACAATTGCAAGAAAAAGTATGTAAGCCATTTATTACCTGGCTTTACGTATAAATTGGTAATAAAATGTGATCTGATCTTTATCTAGATCACAAAAATAGACAAAAACAACCTGCTTCGACAATACCACACAAACAATTATCTACAAACACTGAGTGCAACAGGAAAAATGTACTGGTGGTGTAGGCTAATAGTGTAATAATTACAACAATTATTGTTTTGTGGATTTTTTCACAAAAAAACAAAACCAAAAAAAAACCTGATTTGAAAACTTTCCTTTGTCAATTTAATTTAAAATTAAAAATGTTATTATTAATAGTTAGCTCAAAGGAAATGGCTAGTCCCACAACTCTCTCCCTCTCCCCTCCCTCTCCCTCTCTCTCAGGCTGAGCCACCTGCACTGTACTTGCAAATCCTCATATGGATCCTCTTTATGTGAGAAAACAGTCAGGGCGGGGTATCCAGGTGGACCCTTAGGCAAGGTCCTTAATGCTACTTGCCTACCACCAGGGCAACCTGATGACAAATGGGCTACTGGAACAAGACATTCATGGACTAGAGCAGAAAATATGGATCTGATGCTACTATACTAGCAATTCTGGTGAGAGGGGTTAATGCAGAGACTGTGGGATATATGGATGCTTCGAAACCCATCATCAACACTGACAAAAAAAACAACTCCTAGCTCAGTGTTCTAACATCCGCAAACGGGACCCAACCAGAATGGGTAACCCAAGGACTGACAGTCCTGATCATGAAGGATCCCCAGAAGTCAACAATCCCATCCAACTACCGGCCAATTACCTGCCTCTGCACAACATGGAAGCTCCTGTCAGGCATCGTAGCGGCTAAGATGAGTAGGCACATGGCTCAATACATGGACAGGGCCCAGAAGGGAAAGGGCGGTAATACCAGGGGTGCCAAGCACCAGCTACTGGTTGATAGAGCAGTCACTCGAGACTGCAAGACCAGGCAACTACTACAAGAAAGCCTACGACTCAATGCCACATACATGGATACTGGAATGCTTGGAAATTTACAAGATCAACAAGACACCAATAGCCTTCATCAAGAACTCAATGGGTTGTGGAAAACAAGTCTGGAAGCCAACTCTAAGCCAATTGCACAAGTCACTATCAAGCGCAGAAAATACCAAGGTGATGCACTATCCCCAGTGCTCTTCTGCATAGGCCTGGCACCCCCTTAGCCAGATCATCACAAAGACTGGTAACGGATACCAGTTCCAAAGTGGAACAATCAGTCACCTCCTCTACATGGATGACATCAAGCTGTATGCCAGAAATGAGCGAGACACCACCAGGTGTCTACAGCAACGACATTCCAATGTCACTGCTGTAGATCCTGGTAGTCGTTTGGACTGGACAAGTGTGGTCACATGGTATCAAAAAGAGGGAAAATGATCAGAACCAAGGGGGTTGAACTACCAGAAGGCCACAATGCAGATGTTCAGGACAGCTACAAATACTTTGGGATGCCGCAGGCTAACGGAAACCATGAGGAAGCAGCAAGGAAGTCCGCTACAGCCAAATACCAACAGAGAGTGAAGGAGGTCGTGAAAAGTCAGCTGAATGGGAAAAACAAGATCCGAGCCATCAACACATACGCCCTGCCAGTCATCAGATACCCCGCTGGTATAATAAACTGGCCAAAGCAGGAGATAGAGGCCACTGACATAAAGACAATGCTCCTCACAATGCATGGAGGGTTTCACCCCAAATCCAGCACCCTGAGACTGTACACTAAGCGTAGCGAGGGAGGCCGAGGGCTAGTGAGTGTCAAGACCACTGTCCAGGATGAAATGATGAAGATCCAGGAGTACATCAGGAAGATGTACCCTTAGTGAATACCTCAGGCAGCAGAAACCCAAGGGTGAGGACAAGGAAGACGAAGAAACTTCATGGAGGGACAAGCCGCTGCACGGCATGTACCACAGACAAATATCAAGAAATCCTACCAGTGGCTGGAAAAGGCTGGACTGAAGGACAGCACAGAAGCACCATGGCGGCACAAGAACAGGCACTCAGTACAAGATCAATAGAGGCTGGGGTCTACCACACCAGGCAGGACCCCAGGTGCAGACTGTGCAAGGATGCCCCTGAGACAGTACAGCACAGGTACAGGCAGGAAGTGCGTACATGGAACGCCATAACCAGTCAGCTGTCATAGTGTACAGGAACATCTGCCATGAGTATGGGCTGGAAGTCCCAAGGTCAAAATGGAAGACACCTCCTAAGGTAGTAGAGAATGAGCTAAGATCCTGTGGGACTTCAAGATCCAGACTGACAAACTGGTGATGGCTAACCAACCAGACATCGTGTTGATCGACAAACAGCAGAAGAAGGCTGCAGTGATAGATGTGGCGATCCCAAGAGACAGCAACATCAAGAAGAAGGAACACGGGAAGCTTGAGAAACACCAAGGGCTGAAAGAGGAGCTAGAAAATATGTGGAAAGTAAGAGCAACAGTGGTGCCAGTGGTAATCGGAGCACTCCCAAACTGGGAGAGTGACTACAGCAGATTCCAGGTAAAACATCAGAGGTCTCTGTCCAGAAGAGTGCAGTCCTAGGAACAGCTAAGATACTGCGCAGAGCCCTCAAACTCCCAGGCCTCTGGTAGAGGACCTGAGCTTGAGGATGACACATACCACCCCACAAAGGTTTTTTTTATTTTTATATATATACACACACACACACACACACATATATATACAGTGGGTACGGAAAGTATTCAGACCCCTTTAAATTTTTCACTCTTTGTTTCATTGCAGCCATTTTCCAAAAATCAAAAAAGTTCATTTTATTTCTCAGTAATGTACACTCAGCACCCCATCTGGAAAAAAACAGAAATGTAGAAATTTTTGCAAATTTATTAAAAAAGAAAAACTGAAATATCACACGGTCATAAGTATTCAGACCCTTTGCCGTGACACTCATATTTAACTCAGGTGCTGTCTATTTCTTCTGATCATCCTTGAGATGGTTCTACACCTTCATTTGAGTCCAGCTGTGTTTGATTATACTGATTGGACTTGATTAGGAAAGCCACACACCTGTCTATATAAGACCTTACAGCTCACAGTGCATGTCAGAGCAAATGAGAATCATGAGGTCAAAGGAACTGCCTGAAGAGCTCAGAGACAGAATTGTGGCAAGGCACAGATCTGGCCAAGGTTACAAAAAAATTTCTGCTGCACTTAAGGTTCCTAAGAGCACAGTGGCCTCCATAATCCTCAAATGGAAGACGTTTGGGACGACCAGAACCCTTCCTAGAGCTGGCCGTCCGGCCAAACTGAGCTATCGGGGGAGAAGAGCCTTGGTGAGAGAGGTAAAGAAGAACCCAAAGGTCACTGTGGCTGAGCTCCAGAGATGCAGTCGGGAGATGGGAGAAAGTTGTAGTAAGCCAACCATCACTGCAGCAATCCACCAGTCGGGGCTTTATGGCAGAGTGGCCCGACGGAAGCCTCTCCTCAGTGCAAGACACATGAAAGCCCGCATGGAGTTTGCTAAAAAACACCTGAAGGACTCCAAGATGGTGATAAATAAGATCCTCTGGTCTGATGAGACCAAGATAAAACTTTTTGGCCTTAATTCTAAGCGGTATGTGTGGAGAAAACCAGGCACTGCTCATCACCTGTCCAATACAGTCTCAACAGTGAAGCATGGTGGTGGCAGCATCATGCTGTGGGGTGTTTTTCAGCTGCAGGGACAGGACGACTGGTTGCAATCGAGGGAAAGATGAATGTGGCCAAGTACAGGGATATCCTGGACGAAAACCTTTTCCAGAGTGCTCTGGACCTCAGACTGGGCCGAAGGTTTACCTTCCAACAAGACAATGACCCTAAGCGCACCGCTAAAATAACGAAGGAGTGGCTTCACAACAACTCCGTGGCTGTTCTTGAATGGCCCAGCCAGAGCCCTGACTTAAACCCAATTGAGCATCTCTGGAGAGACCTGAAAATGGCTGTCCACCAACGTTTACCATCCAACCTGACAGAACTGGAGAGGATCTGCAAGGAGGAATGGCAGAGGATACCCAAATCCAGATGTGAAAAACTTGTTGCATCTTTCCCAAAACGACTCATGGCTGTATTAGATCAAAAGGGTGCTTCTACTAAATACTGAGCAAAGGGTCTGAATACTTATGACCATGTGATATTTCAGTTTTTCTTTTTTAATAAATTTGCAAAAATTTCTACATTTCTGTTTTTTTCTGTCAAGATGGGGTGCTGAGTGTACATTACTGAGAAATAAAATGAACTTTTTTGATTTTTGGAAAATGGCTGCAATGAAACAAAGAGTGAAAAATTAAAGGGGTCTGAATACTTTCCGTACCCACTGTATACATAAATAACAGCGTACCTAGAGAGAGGGGGTTTGGGGGTGCAGCAACCTGGTTAAAATGTAGAAAGGGGTGGCGATGGCTCAATGGATAAGACACAGGCCTTTGGTGTGAGAGACCCAGGTTCAATCCCCCACTGTGACACATCCACCACTGAGCAAGACACTTAACCCTTAGTTGCTCCAGAGGCGTGCAACCTCTGACATATATAGCAATATGTCGCAATAAGTCGCTTTGGATAAAAGTGGCAGCTAAATGAATAAATGTAAATGTACAATAACATGAGCCACTTATTGAACTTACAGCAGCTCTTTTTTTGACCAGGTTCTTGGCACTACGCCACATGTCCTGACTGTGATGAATTCCAGGGTCCTTGTTTCTGCCTTCGTCTGGGTCTGTGAAATGGACAAGCATTTAATTTTACATTTATTTATATTTCCATCATCTTCTCAACTAGGGCAGCTCGATTAATCTAATTACAATGTGATGTCACCCTGTGCGATTACATAACCGCAAAAGGGTGCATTTACAACAAAAGAGTGTGCTGTGTGTTTGACACTGAAGTATCTGTGTGCACTGCAGTGTTCTCATTATCCACACCGGGCAGTATTGTAGAATTTGTTTCTCTTCTAATGCTAGTTTAACTGATTCTAATCTGAGTTTACAAATATACATTTTAAAATTTCAGTATTTTGTGCATTTTCCATGATATTCAAGTAAGTAGACTTGTAGGTAATTTGTTACCATTATACCACAAATCGGAATCAGGCGTGCAAACTGGTCAGGGGTAAAAAAGGTGAGAAGGATACGCAAGCAGATAAACACACAGAGACGGTGTCAGAGGGGTCTGTTTAAGCTTACATGTTTGTAAAGATAACTTGCAATTGAATCCTGCAAGAAGAGAAAGATACCGACACGCAAGAGCGACACTCTGTGTTGAGAAGCGGTGACATAAGGGCTCAGATTAGGGGTGTGAGGATACACTGAGCTCATGAGAGGAGATGATATGCAATATTGGTGTCACAAGAACATGACAAGATGATATTTTAAAACTACTTTATAAAAAACAATTAATGCCAAAGTATATGAGTTAGGGGGGTCTGCATTCTGGTGAAATTTTCTGCTCCAATTTTTTTTTCCTGCAATAATTTATGGAAATTTTTTTATTTATGTAAAAAAGGAAACACAACATTCAGGTGGCATGAACAATTCAAAATCTAAAAACATAAGAGAACAGAAAACTTGGCCAAAAAGAAACTGTGTGAAGAAGTTCTTAAAGTTACTGTCTGGTTTGTGCACATTTTGGGGTAATTTTATAATCGGTAGCTTGATTTGTTTTTTAGCTTAGTTTAAATAAATAAATAAATAAGTGCAGATTAACCTAAAGCTTTTTCATGTGTTATTTCACATTGCTTGTTGCAAGCTATTCAGCAACATTTTTAACAAATGCTTTCAAAAAGTGGTGAGGACAAAATGAGCCATTTCAAAAAGGGATGAGCCATTAGGAGTGGTTAGGCATAAAGTTGCAAAGTTCATGCTAGGGAGAAATAACTGTCCGACGACCAACAGCCTGCCCCAAAATATTTTATCGGATCCGCACAAATCACATAGGTGACACATTTTGGTTTCAAAACAGCGAATTTCGCTGAAAGGAGTTTGCATGCCTGCGCAATATTGTCCACAATAATCGTAATATGACCTTTTCTCTAAATCGTGCAGCCCTATTTTCACCACATGTATTCATACATTATATCAGATGAGTACTTACTCATAAGGGCTGTGATCTGGGCATTAGCATCTGTGCAGATCTCCACTAGCTTTATCTCTGATGTAAGCTTGTCTACAGTCTCGATAAAACCCTCCTTCTCCACGACGACAGAGTTGCAGGATGTCTGCTGCTTGTTGATGGTGGCAACATGAATGATCTCCTTGGTGTCATTCTCCATGGTGGCGAAGCTGCAGTAATGTGCACAATGGCCTGGAGAGTCATTTCTGCCATCTGCTGAAAAAAAAAAACACAAAAACATATATATAAAATCCAAAAAATAAATAAGAGTTAGCTGCTTACATACAGTCACACTGCCTAATGTCTTCACTATTTGTACTATGGTAAAGTTTCAGCTACGCACCTAGGACCACAACATCTTTCCCCTGAAGGCCACTGAGGGCCTCAGTCCTCCTCTCTTCCCAGAAGGCCTTCACTGTGTCCACACAGTAAGCGTCCTGAATGGACACGAAGGTGTTCTTCTTCACCATCCCCATGTTCATGAACTTGAACAAGAGGGCGACCTTCGCATAGTCGTTGCCAGACAACAAAATGTTGGTGGACAAGAGAAAATCTCCAGCTTGCGTCCCACACTTCATTACAGGCTGGGAATTCCACCTCCACAAGCTGTGTCCATTGGGACAGATCTGAAAGTCCAAGAAAAGGCAGGATTGCATTTGGCATGTACAGCACTGGCTTTCACTACAAATGTGTTTTAATGGGAATTTACAGTTATGATACGCTGCGACTGTCAGGACTTACCCATTCGACACTCGTTGCTGTGCCCTTGGAAGTGATGTTGATCTCAAAGGGGGCAACACAGTCACACACAACACCAGTCTTTAAACGGCCTGTACATTTTTTCACAGGCAGGATCAGAAATGTAGCCAGCTGTCTCAAGCAGTCCTCGTATACTATTGAAGCTCTGGCACCAACGATGTCATCTTCACAAAGGACCTGCTGTGGGGATGGGAAAACAGGGTCCTGATCACAGGGAGAAGCCTCATCAGGAGGGTCTTCACGTGCAGGCTGGTCATGCGCTGCCTCGCCCGTTCCAATAACTGGAAGTCGATCGATCGATGGTGCTTTCTTTAATGCTCCACCCATTCTGTTGAGGCACAACATGAAGGCATATGTGTAAAGATTTGAATAAAAGCTGGCATCACAGAACAATAGCAGAGTAAAGACTGACTGATAACACACCGTATACAAATGGGTGGAAGATCCTCTTCATCAGAGCTGTCATCTTTATCTCCATCATCTTTTTCATGAAAGTAAGAAGAGCCTTCATCTGTCCAATCAATTCTGTAAAAGGATGACATATTCAGAAAACATTAACTTATAGAGAGAGAACACTAAATAGTAATAAATTATTATGTCATTATGAAGCACTACTTATGGCCCTTTTCCACCGTATTGTCCCAGCTCGACCCTACTTTTTTGGTTTACCATTGGGGAGTTGTACTTTTTTTTCGTATCACCTCCGCTGAGGTTCCAAACCAGCTGAGGCGATACCAAGTATCAGGTGGCGTTAAAACACTGTAGACCACCGATTGGTCAGGTAGAATCGTGACTGTTCACTGCATCATCATTACACGCACCAGACGAGCACCAGTGTCTTATATTTTACAATTTTCGTACGCCATTTTATCACTAAATCCACTTCTGATAAATTTGAATGTGTGATTTCGGAGTTTGGCAGGAACACACACAGTCAAACACGGACCACTTCAGCCAACACAGCAGACAAGTCCAGCAGTAACGGCAGATCAAATGCCAGTCGAATCGAGCTGAGCTGGTAGCAGTGATGGAAAAGCGCCATTACACACTGTTCAAGGGGTACTGAAAACATTGTGCTTCTCATCCATGCTCATGTCATGTAAGCTGTAGAAAAAATTTAGCATTAAAATATATAAATTATAAATATATACAAAACATAGTACATGTAGTGCAAAGACATTATGACAGTTGAACTGTTTCCTTTGTTCAAGGTCCATTTCTGTGGATTCTGCAATGACATTAAGACGCTCATCTCTGAAAAGAAGAACCAGGGGCGTACGCTACCTCCCAAGCAGAGGTTATGATTTATAAAATACAAACTTGACGGGAGAATGTGCGGTCCTGTAAGTAAACTCTGAACCATGCATACGCACATAAACTGGAGAAATGAGAAACAGTGACTAACATGGAAGAATGTTGAAACGGTTTGAAAAGAATAGGCCTACTATCGTGTAAAATAAATCGAAATATTACCTCTGACTATTATAGGCTTAAAGCATTTCTGAATAAACAAAAAAAAAAAAACATAATTTAAAAGGTTAAATTTCATTTTTTTTATCTTTTCTGTCAGAATCCGCCTCCTTTTCTTCCTGCAGTCAGAACGTATTAATATTAATGAGTTTCACTGACCATTTATAGTCATTTATGGGTGTTTGAAGGGTCAACATGGAGCTCCCACACATGCGCCACATTTCAAGTTCATTGTGATTTATAAAGGGAACTTGCTTACAGATGTGCATACGCACAGTTTTATAAGTCTGAATATTTTTTGGCTTTTGGGCGCACGGACACTTTCAGTGAGTATTCTACGCAGTTTTATAAATGAGACTCCAGAGCATGATACATCCCACATATGGAGATACAGCAGCTATACTGTATATATTATATTAATGACTTGCCTGTTCATCCTTCCAGAAGCACCGATGCTAGACACTGCTGCAGCTGTGAGTTGAACAGGTGTTTCCTTCATGGGAGTCGTTGCTGCAGAACCTCTCTCATAGCTGGAGAAACAGCAGCAACATCAAGAGAATAAGTGCTACATGACACAGCTGCACACCCCTGTAATACATTCTGTTACGTCCTAAGGTGCTGGGAGGGTCGGCTCGCCTGGACAAACTCACCAAAATAAATCAGGAATAGCAACTATCAGGTCAAATACAAGCATGAATCTCAGGCAAGGATAGTGAACAAACTGGGAAATATATAAAAGTGTCTGTAACATAAATTTAATTTTGTTCACTTGGATGAACAGTTTCTTTATCTCTTAGAATATAATCTGAACACAAAGCACTACTTATATCCATTAATGGAGGCTGTGTGCTCACAATGCAACCTTTGCCAATGGCTCTGACCCTGTGCATCATCAGATTCCACCCATGTGCAGAAAAAGCAATGACAAACAACAACATCGCTCCTTTTTGTAAACAAACAGAGCAAGTAAACAACATGTTTGACCTTTGATAAGCACTCAAATATGAGGCGTGTGTCTCACATTTGGCTAGTGCAGTACTACAATTCGGCATTGGTTTGGAGTCTCTGCGTCACATGACTTGAAATCTATTGAAATAAATAATGATTTTCCCATAACACTGTTTTCACAATTTGAATTTATTGATGGTCCCTAAGCTAATGCCCGTTGGTTTAAAGCGAGCCGTCAGAGGTGAGCTAACCGCACTTATACAACCGTCACTGGATCCTGGGAGAATATCCAACTTAAAACTAACTTCACCGCGGTGCGTTTAGATCGGGCTAAATTACCTGTGCAGCAGAAAACAGGCAACTTCGGCGTCACTCTGAAAACATTTGTCCCTCATCAGAGATTTCCATTTGGGGAAGGCCGCACCGATGTTGATCATTGTTTTCTGCCGTCGTCTGTCCACATTTAGTTTCACTTCTTCCTCTTTTCGCTCCGTCGCTTTTTCTTCTGCTAAATAACACGTACGATCCTCCATTTGTCAAAATGTTGGCTTCTCGGTTAGCCAGCAAACACTTCAAACTCATCTCATCTTCTTTCTTCTCCTCCGTCTGTTTTCTACCATCTGCACATGGATGCAGGGTCTGCAGGAGAGGAAGGTTCCGGTTTCCGCCTGTAGTCCGGGGAGTATTGACCAATCACGTTGCAGCGGGCTTTGGTTGCATGCAGGTAAACAGTCCGTGTGGAGCGCAAAAGAGGCGGAACACATCGACTGCAGGTCATTTCCCATTTCTCAGTTTGTTTGTCTTTATTTTATATTTTATTTTATTTATTTTAGAAAACACAGTATTTACACAAAACTGTGCACATCAAGGGTCAAATTAAAGAAAAAAAAAAAAGACATGAACAGAGTGACGCAAATTCAAAATACTGTATCATCGGTTCAAAAAAAGTATGAAGCACATCTTAATTGCCTTATTCTTAATTAGTCGTCTTTAGCTGGGTGCTACATTAACCCAGTTCTTCGCAAAACATTCCATAATGTGGTTTGAAGCCTATTTCTTCTTGTGAATGTGAAATTTTCCCAATAATAAAACTAACTGTACAAAAAAGTAAAAGCTTTTTCTTCTAATTACTTTTAAAACATGTAACAGTATATCCTACTATACATACACAAATGACAGATTGGTTCTTCTTGTAGTTCACAGAAAGAATACTTAGTATCAATTCTAAACCATTCAAATGTTTTTCTGAGCCCTTGAGTACAATAAATAAATAAGAAATGTCATCATCAATTTAACCATCTCACTGGTGCTTTGGTACAGGCTACTTTGTGTTTTAATATTGTTCAGTGTTTTGGAATAAGAAGTGTTTCATCACTGTGCATCATCTTAGAAATGTGTAACATTGTTATTTGTAGGGAATGCACTTCGCTTTGCTTGTTGATTAACTCTAATTTTAGTTAATAAAAATAAACTCGCTAATTTCCATCAGAAAGCCATGCTCTCCGCAACAAGATGATTCTGTAAAATGTAGCAGCAGAATCCAGTCCGACTGAGTAACATTAGTAGAACAAATCACTTCTTAAACTGAAAACTATTTGCCTGATTTTCTGAATGTTTGCATCTGTCCAGCTTATTAATATCTGGCACAGGTGCACCGGCTAAATCTCTACTGCGTAATCACTCGGCTTGTAGATGAAAGACTAGTTCAGTAATGAAGGTATGAATGACAAATGTAGCAACATTAAATGTAGATTACTGGCCCCAAAAAATACCAGCGTAAAGAGAAAGTTGCGTTTTTTTTAAAAAAGGAACATGAAAAGTGCCTTAAACCTGCATTCTTTGTAATGGCCAACAGGGGGCGACTTAATGACAAAATTACCCTACTTCTCACTTGTTTATCACATAAGTAAACACTTTCCTAACATGTTTATGGTCTCAATCGCTAGTTTTAAGTCTTCTTCAATACAGCATGATGTTAATTTAGTAAATTATGGTCCCATTTAGAGGAAAATAGACAATAAAGCTGGGGCTAGGCTGCTAATTTTATGCTTTTAAAGACTTGAAAAAAGGCTGTAATAACAGAGGATGAGCTCAGCATGATGCAAAAACACTATAATCAAAATGAAAACACAATGGTGCAGTTGAACATGTTGTCGGGGAGGAATAAAAGCCCATATTTACGGTACAGTGACAAGAGCCAAAATTTATTAATTTCCCCAAGATTTTCATCTGTTGTCTTCCCCAAAAACCAGCACTCCTATGTGGGGACACGCCTGCTATCTTTCCTGGGTCCCATGGTGGTCATGGCAGGAGACGTGGCCATTATGGCTGCCAACTCCATCAGCGGCCTGTATATCTCCTCACCTCTGAGCCTCCACTGCCCAGCTCCTCGTCACAACCCAGTGCAACAGAGGTGCCTACTGTCCTGCCTGGTACGTCATGGTCTGACCACCTACCACTCCACGTGTTCCGTTCTGTGGTCCGACCAACGCCAGCTCCAGTTTCTCTGTCGGTGGCACGACCGACTCCTGCTCCATGTGTCCAGTCGGTGGCCCAACCGACACCTGTCCCTGGTTCCTCGTCGGTGGACCAACCGACACCAGCTCCATTGGTGGTCTGACTGATCCCTGCCCCCCATGTTCAGTCGGTGGCCCGACCGACTCCTGCTCCGGGTCCTTTGTTGGTGGCTCAACCATCTCCTACACTCCTGATCCCTTGTAAGTGGCCCGACCGACTCCTGCTCCCGGTCCCTCGTTTGTGGCCTGACCAACTGCTGCTCCAAGGTCTCCGTCGGTGGCCCGACCCACACTTGCTCCTGGTTCCCCTTCGGTGGTCCAACCAGGTTCAGGCCACAGTGCATCGACACCGGTTCCCAGCCCAGCTGTCCAATCGCCAGCCCTCAGCCTGGCAGTCCAGGCTCCGGTCCTCAGCCCTGCAGCCTTGTCTCTGGTTCCATGTTCTGCTGCTTCGTTGCTGGACTTTAGCCCTGCCTGGTCTCTGGAGAGGTCTTGCCCTCGTTGACGGCCTCTTGTTCAACCTTCTAAGGTTTACAGTCCTTGTCGCAGGGCACCTGCCCGACCTCAAAAAGGTTTTTGCCCTCGCTCTCAACTTCCAGGCCGCTCACCTAATCTTCTCGGCCTGTCGGGTCGACCCCCCCAACTGTCTGTTTTCCCCAGGCCGTCCGCCTGAAGTCACCTGCTGTCCCCAGTTCTGTGGCTGTCCACCAGGGATTTTGGTTTGGACTCTGTTTGTCTTTTGTTTCTGTGGTTTCCTGGATCCCTCCTACTTTATCCCTCCACCTACCCTAGTTGGACTTGTGTTTTGGTTTCTGTTGTTGGGGATGGGTTTGTTTTGGAATGCTGGGAGTCTTTCCTTGTCTTTGTGGTCTCACCCGTGTGTAATTAATTTCTCCCTCACTGATGTATTTTAGTGGTTGTCTGTCTTTCATTCAGTGCCAGTTCATTGTGGATTTAGTTAGTGTTGATTTTGTGCTAGTTGCTTTAGTGTTTCCAGTGCTTCCAGTGCCTTTTGTGGATTTATACTTTTGTTGGACTTTCGGACTACGCAACCCTTCGTGTCTTGGATTTTTGTGCTTTGTGTTTTGGACTGCTCACACCACATCACCATTAAGTTTCACTGCCTTTACCCTTACCGTCTCCGCATCTGGGTCCAAAACCACTGTCGCCTGCGTTCAGCCCTTGAGCTATACGTAACACCATGGCCCTTACCATGCGTTCCTATCTCTTGGATATGTCAAACTCCTTCTCGCTCACGAAGTGCAACCTAGGATCTGTAATGTGAGGATCCGGTGACTAATGGGTGTAGAGGGGGAACATACACTGGTGGTGCCTGACGTTCCAGTGAGAAGTCAGGGCAATCCAGGTCATGGTCAGGCTACGCCTCAGTCAAGCGACCTTTTCAGGGATGGTCCACCATTCCGTCACCAAGGTGATGTGATCCCGACCGGGTTGGTGTGGTAAACTTTGGCTTGTCACGGCTAGGGCGGACAATCATCGGGTTCCACCCACTGTTTGTATGTCACGCACATCGGTGGTGATGTCCTATTGGTTGGCTACGTGCACAATAAACATTTCAGTGGGCAAGAGTGTGCGTGTGACTGGAGGTGGTAGTACCCATAGAGTCCAGTAGAGGGCTCCGCCAGTGCTTATAGTACTAAGGTTACCATATTGTAACCTTCGTTTTTAACTTCACACCATTAATACTAGCTTAAGCCTATGACATTTCACACTGCTCAAATTAGCCTAGCGGCTACCGGACTTTCCCTCTACTCAAAGCTTAACTAAATACATGTATAATTTATACTATTTCTTACTCACCGCTGGTTTAAATTGCTGCCTCTCCTGACACAACACCACAGCTGAATTTCAGGCTGCATTAAAGTTATGTTAAAACAGAGCAGCTGATATATCCTTAGCGACAGCAACAACCTAGTGCTTTCAGGCAGCTCTGCTCTTCGAAAAAGGCCAAGTGAAACAAGCCGATTTTCATTCCACTGGCAGAAAGTTTGTATCAAAACGTGTGTGTAGAACTCAGATCGACAAATACAAGCTGGTCTCACAAATGTCTGTTTGAAAGTGTCAAATGTTAGGAAGATATTCACAAATGCTTTTTTTTTTAACAATTTATAAATTAAAACTGGACTCACAAATGCCTTTTTGAAAGTTGTAAATTTTAGGAACATTCACAAAAGCGGTTAAATTATTTGGAAATGATTTAATATATTAATTGGAATTTATTTGTGTATTTGAAGATCTGTGGCATGTACTACAAAGGGAGTTCAACCTACTTGGGGTTATCAGGCAAACTCAGGGTTGATAAACTCTGACCGTTTACACTGGAGTTAAACGGTACTACGGTGGTGAATAAGATGTTGGTTAGTTGAATCGGTGTTAAACTTAATTGGAGTTGGTGCGTGGCCGCATAAAAGGGGTTACACCCAACGTCACAGAGTTACTCCTGAAGTTACCTGGACAAGCCAGTTACCCCGCTTTGTAGTACAGGCCACTGTTTTGTATTTGCAAAATATGTTTGAGTTTACAAATCTTCATTTTGTGTTTGTGGAAAGTGTTTTATTTTTACAGATTACACATTAACACACAGATTGCTCATCTGTTCACACAAAAAAGTATTGAAACCAATTAACTAAATAGAAAAACTTTATTTGAATAACTTTTAAACGTAGATGGCTTTAGTAGGCAGCATTTTAACCAGAATACTTTTTTATACATATTTTAAAATAAGAGAAAGCCAAACACAAAATACAACAAAACCCTAAAAGACAATAAAAACTGCTGTATTTCTATCCTGTGTGGACTCTCATGTGTGTCTTAAGATTTGACTGCTGGTTAAATCTTTTACCACAAACATCACAGCAAAATGGTTTCTCTCCTGTGTGAACTCTCATGTGTTCCTTAAGATGTGACTGCCGGTTAAATCTTTTTCTACAAACATCACAACAAAATGGTTTCTCTCCTGTATGAACTCTCATGTGTTCCTTAAGATGTATCTGCTGGTTAAATCTTTTACCACAAACATCACAGCCAAATGGTCTCTCTCCAGTGTGCACTCTCATGTGTGTTTTAAGATTTGACCGCTGGTTAAATCTTTTACCACAAACATCACAGGCAAATGATTTCTCTCCTGTATGAACTCTCATGTGTTCTTTAAGATTTGTTTGCCGGTAAAATCTTTTACCACAAACATCACAGCCAAATGGTTTCTCTCCTGTGTGCACGCTCATGTGTGTCTTAAGATTTCCCCGTTGTGTAAATTTCTTACCACAAACATCACAGCCAAATGGTTTCTCTCCTGTGTGGACTCTCACCTCTGAATCTACATTTTTCTTTACTCTAAAACATTTTTTATTAACCAGACGGTTGGAGGATCTTTTTCCTGAATGACACACCATGTGTCTCTGAAGAGACCCCTTGTGTTGATATTGTTTACCACATTCAAAGCAACTAAATGATTCTTTCCCAGCATTACATCCTGCATCACTTACAGGAGCTTCCTTATATTTCAGAGCATTTACACCTGACTCAGGTGCTCTGGTCTCCTTCCAACCATTGTCACTGTCTTCAGTTTCAGCTTCAGAATCTGACAAAGGTTCTTGCCAGTCATTTTCACTGACTTCAGTGTCTGAAGCTTTTTTCATCAGTATCTGGTTGTAAATGACTATGATCAAGGTTCCCAGCAGGTTCTGATCCTCCATCAGTTTCTGTTTTTATCTGCGTAGCTGAGCTGCTGGCTGAAGGCTCTGCCTCTCTGTTGTCCTCAGTTTGGCTTTGATGAAGCTGTGGAGACTGAGGTTTCTCTTCCTCATCTTCACTCTTCACAGTAACAGCAGTGAATGGGAACCTGGTGATATCAGCCTCCTCCAGCCCATTAAGCTGCTCTCCCTCCTGACTGGTCCAGAGTTCCTCCTGTTCTTCTTTTATGTGTAGGAGCTCTGGGTCCTCCTGGTCCAGACTGGGGCTACACTCAGAGGGAACCTCTTCTTTAATCACCAACAGCTGCTGGACATCTGTAGGGAACACTGAAACACAGCAAAAAATTGTTGGCAGCCTTTATCTAGTAAACTAATAAAAACAAATAGAAATCATCATCAAATAGAAGTTGTACAAACTTCTCTATAATGTGAAAGATGGAGTTACTTTAACAAATATTACAGGTCAAGAACATATTTAACCATAGTGATGGTGCACACCATCGATGACAAGTAGGTGGTCTTTAAAAGTCTTAAACCACGGTTTGCTTCAAATTTTGCACCCTTTTTTCTCAACAAGTCTTCCAAATTAAATGACCCACTGTGTCAATGTCCCTCCGGAACAGCACACATAAGTTCTGTCTGATCCAAGTCACCATAAACTTCAGGCCTGGAAGAAAACAAAGTCTTACCTGTCTTCTGCCTTCTAGGCATCCCCACTCCACTTGTGATTCTCCTCTTTACAATCCTTGCTTGCAGTTCAGAGATGTATGCATTGTTTTTTTCAGATTTCAGGGCATATAACCTGTGTCTTCTGCTGTTTTTCTTGTGCAGCCTTCTGAAACTGTAATTACATAAATTTCAACCATTCAATATCAGTTAGTCATTATAACAACTGATAACCATGAAAACCAATGTAAATTAAAGCTGCAAGTAGCGTTCAGCAGGCCCTCGCACTTGTAGCGCGTCCGGGTGTGAGTCGGTCGCGTTGCATATTCTGGAGCTCTGCTGTTGCGGCTGTGAATTTGCTACGCACTTCGGACGTTGCATGAAGGTGTTATACGTCACTTCCTGTGTACCCTTTGTGGCGCAACATAGCAATTTGTCGCTATGTATATAAATGAATATTGGCATGTAGATGTGTTCGGGGAGGGACAGTTACGTCAAGCACGTAAAGATTTGTGCACATGTGTGCATGTACACTGAAGTTACAGCAACTTCCTGTGTCATGGCAAAGAGCTGATCTTTGATGCCACGCCACGGACACGCCCATCGACGAAAACTCACAGATAGCCCAACTTTTCATCATCAATGACTTTAGAATGCACAGTAGAAAATTTATGTCAATCTGATTAATTCCCTAGGAGGAGTTTATCAAAGTAGGGACCTTGTAAAAGGCCATAATTAGGCTTTAATTGAACATTCAAATAAAAAATGGCTGAATTCCTGTCTGATTTCAGGTATGGCTCCAAGAGGCTTTTTTGTGCGTCTTGGGATGATACATGTACCACAAACTTTTTGTGTATCTTTGTGATTCAGTGCGCAGGGGCTGCATCTTTGAAGGAACACTTCCTGATTCCAGCAGATGCCGCTATGAGGTAGGGTGAATTTTGACCTGTAGATGTGTTGAGGGCGTGACCCTTATCAAATGTGTGAAGATATGGTGGAGATATGAGCATGTTCAGCAAAGTTACAACAACTTCCTGTGAACTTTGACACCACGCCAAGGACATGCCGTTATCCGAAAACTCACAAGATTCACAACATAGCATCATCAATGTCTTAAGTACAGTTAGAACAACTTCCTGTGTCATGGCAAAACATGGCACTTCGCTGCCAGTTTTGAAGTTCACATGTCAAACCTGCTCGGAGTAGTACAGCGTAAAACGTGTCATTTCCTGTTGCCAGCAGGTGGTGCTATGAGTGAACACAGACTGCACAACACAAATCTGAAATCGGTTGGACTAAATCGCTAGGAGGAGTTTGTTAAAGTGTGTCAATTGCCAAAAATGACCATTGTTTGACTTCCTGTTTGGTTTAGGCAATGGCTTTTTTGTGTGTCTGGACTTGATAAATGTACCACAGAAATCTTGTACACGTAAGTGAAACTTTGTCCAGGGGCTGCTCTGTAGGGGGCGCTAGCAAGCCCTTTTGCCACGCCACGCCCATGCGAGAAACCCATAAAATACGAAATCTTTCGCCACTCCTGAATTTTGTGCAAAGTTTGGTGAGTTTTCGAGTATGTTTAGGCCCCCAAAATTGAGGTTACTTTGAAGAAAAAAAAAAGAAAGAAAAAAAATAAATCCCTCCAGTCCCTCGCACGGTTCGTGCTTGGGCCCTAATAATGAATCACTTGCACTGAATACATTGATAGTCCAGAGCAGCAAGCAGAACTCTTCCCTCATAAACTGGGGGAGTGAAAGTGAAGCGCTTGCTGACATACATCAATATATGATTCTGGAATGCGTCTAGGTCTGCAGCTGATCTGATACAACAATTTTTTTTTTTAATATAATTTAACACAAATAGTCATAATGTACATCTGTGTGAAACATGTAGTCACACTTTACCTGAAGCGCAGGTATTTATGCACATCCTTCAGCCAACGCTCATTGAGAACAATGTCCACTAAAGCTTTGTGGCACCTGAAGGCTCTCTGGATCCACGCCTTTCTTTCTTTCAGGTACCCATGTTGACACCTTCTATTAGTCCAGGTGTAAATGTCACAGACATGGTGAGTGATGCCAAGCCACAGTTCCTTTGAAAAACAAAACAGCACTATTAGAAGATCCATCATATGAAAGTGAAAAAACAGATGAACATTATAAACATACAGTCCCAAGTCCCAGTTACCTGGATTTCTGTATAAATTGGTGAAAAAATGTCTTTATCTAAATCACAAAAATAGACAAACTCTGCATGCTGAAACTTATACCACACAATCAAATTTCATGTTTTTTTGGACACACTGTATAGACATTCACAGTGCAGGGTGGTAAAAGTATGTGAGCCCCTAGGCTAATGCTAATGACTTCTCCAAAAGCTAATTAGAGTCCGGCAACCTGGAATCCACTCAGTGTCCAATTTCCCTAGGAGTGGCCGTCCTATAAGGATGATTACATGGTAACAGTGCAGAATGTTCAATGAGGTTAAGAAATATCCTAGTCAGCTGAAGACTTACAGAAATCTCTGGAACATGCTAACATCTCTGTTGACGATTACGTTATGTCAAACATTGAACAAGAATAGAGGTCATGGGAGGACACCATAGAGGAAGCCACGCTGTCCAAAAAACCCCCTGAAGTTTTCAAAAGAGCACTTGAATGTTCCACAGCACTACTGACAAAATATTCTGTGGACAGATGAAACCAAAGCTGAGTTGTCTGAAAGCCGCACAACACAGAAAGGCACAGCACGCTAACATCAAAACCATAAAACTGTAAAGTATGGTGGAGGGGGCATCATGGTTTGGGGCTGCTTTACTGCCTCAGAGCCTGGTAAGGGTACTATCATCGATTGAAAAGTTTATCAAGAAATTTTACGGGAGAATGTAAGGCCGTCTGTGCACCAATTGAAGCTCAACAGGAGATGGGTGATGCAACAGGACAACAACCCAAACCAAAGAAATACATCAACAACAGAATGGATTCAGCACCAGAAAATATGCTTTCTGTAGTGGCCCAGTCAGAGTCCTGACCTAACCGAGAACGCACGGACTCTGCAAGTGTGAGGCCGTTTACCAGCAACCTGCCGGGGAGAAACGCAAGCAGTAAGACCTACATTCTGTGGTAAGTGACGTCGAATAGTTGCTAATCCATTTATCTTTAGCCCAGCATATGTCATCTTTAAACCCCTAGACAAATTTAGTTATCATCTAATTGCATTCATTAGTTGCCGTTTGAGTAAAATCCTCTCACAATCAAACCTTCATTCTCATTGTTTAGCCATTGTTTATTTCTCTGATTTATTTAACCACCTTTCTATATCACCTTAGTTAGTTAATAAATTCACTGTAATCAAGGAATTGTGTGTATTGCCTAATTCTAAGTCCCTGCCAAGAGAATTTACCCTTTAGATATGAGACTGACTGATGGATTTATGATAACTGAGCGATTATTAACTAACTGATCACTGGTGAATAATTGTATAATTATTAAAAGCTACCTAGAGGTCCGGAGACTCTAGATTAATTAACTCTAGATAACAACTCCGGTGGTGCCCCGCGAAACGAGAGATAGATTAATATTGTCTGAATATTAAAATTCATATTCGGGTATTCTCATAAATTTATTAAAATTCATAGGTAGTTTAGACATGCCACAATTACACCAGATCATTTCAGTGATTAACACACCTTCAGCCAGAGAGGAGGAGCTCAACAATGAAATCAACTTTTTTGTCTTTGATTGGAAAAAACCCATTACTGCGCATCTGAAATTTGCAAAAGAGCACTGTGCTCCACAGCACTACTGGCAAAATATTGTGTGAACAGATGAAATGATTGTTTGACAGGAGCACACAACTCTATGTGTGGAGGAAAAAGGCACAGCATGCTAACATCAAAACCTCATCCCAACTCTAAAGTAGGGTGGAGGGGGCATCATGGTTCGGGGCGCTTTACTGCCTCAGAGCCTGGAAGTGTTATCATCAGCGGAAACATGAAATCAACAAGAAATTTGAGACTGTAAGGCCATCTGTCTGCCAATTGAAGCTCAACAGAAGCTGGGTGATAGAACAGATAACGAGCCAAAGCACAGAAGATTGGAATGAAAACATACATACTCTGTCAGGAATGGCACATAGTTAAATACCCCTGATGTAAGATATAGTCACTTTTTGATGAATACATACTGTAGACAGTAACATGAGTCACTTATTCAACTTACAGCAGCTATTTTTTTGACCAGGTTCTTGGCACCATGCCACATGTCCTGACTGTGATGGATTCCAAGATCCTTGTATCTGCCTTCATCTGGGTCTGTGAAGTGGGGAAGCATTTATTATTACTACAATATTTCAATCATCTTTTCAACTAGGGCTGCACAATTAATCTAATCTCAATTGCGATGTCACCCTGTTCAATTACATAACCGCTAAAGGGTGCAATTATATTCAACAAAAAAGTGTGCTGTGTGTTTGACACTAGTGTCTGTGTGCTCATTATCCACACGAGCAGAAGTGTAGAATTTGTATCACTTCTAATGCTAGTTTAACTTTAGAAATACACGTTTTCAGTATTTTGTGCATTGTTAATGATAATCAAGCAAATATACCACAAATTGCTATATGACTTTATCTCTAAATTGTGCAGCCCTATTTTCACCACATGCATTTGTACATATCAGATGAGTAACTTGAGAGATGACTTACTCATAAGGGCTGTGATCTGGGCATTAGCACCTGTGCAGATCTCCTCTTGATTTATCTCTGATGTAAGCTTGTCTAAAGTCTCGATAAAACCCTCCTTCTCCATGACGACAGAGTTGCAGGATGTCTGCTGCTTGTTGATGGTGGCAACATGAATGATCTCCTTAGTGTCATTCTCCATGTTGGCGTAGCAGCATGAATGTGCACGATGGCCTGGAGAGTCATTTCTGCCGTCCGCTGAAAATAAGTAATAATTAAAAACCCAAATTTTAAAGTCACACTGCCTAATGTCTTCAATACTTGTATAACATGGTAAAGTTTCAGCTACGCACCTAGGACCACAACATCTTTCCCCTGAAGGCCACTGAGGGCCTCAGTCCTCCTCTCTTCCCAGAAGCTCTTCACTGTGTCCACACAGTAAGCGTCCTGAATGGACACGAAGGTGTTCTTCTTCACCATCCCCATGTTCATGAACTTGAACAAGAGGGCGACCTTCGCATAGTCGTTGCCAGACAACAAAATGTTGGTGGACAAGAGTAAATCTCCAGCTTGCGTCCCACACTTCATTACAGGCTGGGAATTCCACCTCCACAAGCTGTGTCCATTGGGACAGATCTGAAAGTCCAAGAAAAGGCAGGATTGCATTTGGCATGTACAGCACTGGCTTTCACTACAAATGTGTTTTAATGGGAATTTGCAGTTATGATACGCTGCGACTGTCAGGACTTACCCATTCGACACTCGTTGCTGTGCCCTTGGAAGTGATGTTGATCTCAAAGGGGGCAACACAGTCACACACACCAGTCTTTAAAAGGCCTGTACATTTTTTCACAGGCAGGATCAGAAATGTAGCCAGCTGTCTCAAGCAGTCCTCGTATACTATTGAAGCTCTGGCACCAACGATGTCATCTTCACAAAGGACCTGCTGTGGGGATGGGAAAACAGGGTCCTGATCACAGGGAGAAGCCTCATCAGGAGGGTCTTCACGTGCAGGCTGGTCATGCGCTGCCTCGCCCGTTCCAATAACTGGAAGTCGATCGATCGATGGTGCTTTCTTTAATGCTCCACCCATTCTGTTGAGGCCCAACATGAAGGCATATGTGTAAAGATTTGAATAAAAGCTGGCATCACATAACAATAGCAGAGTAAAGACTAGGGGTTGGAGAAAAAAATAGATTCTTAGATGCATCGCGATGCGGACGTGGAAGATTTTGAATCGATTAACAAATGTCAAAAAATAGATTATTTAAATGTTAATTGATAACATAATGTTGACGGAACACAAAAGGCGGGACTCGCGGAAGTGCAGTACTAATTTTCAAATTATTATTTTGATTGTTTGATATTTTAGTAATTGTTGTGTTTTTAAATCTCACATTTGATACTGATTGTTTGAATGAACTAAATAATTAATTTTAGTTTTTTTCCCCTATTAATACACACACACATATACGGTTTTATCTATTCATTTTATTTAAAAATTAAAAAATATTATTATAATAACACACGTTACTGTGTCATTTACTTAGTTTATTAAATTTTTTTAATTATTATTATTATTTTATTTTGTATCAACACAAACACAACTTTTGCTGTTTTATTTCCTTATCTAATGAAATTTATGAAATTAACTGTCCTTATGTACTTTATGTATAGCTTTTTATATATAGCTTTGGCAATATTGTTGCTATACATTCATGCCAATAAAGCTAATTTGAATTTTGGTGACCAAGGAGCTGAGGTTAATGAAGTAAATTAGGGATGCAAACTTTCATGAACCTTCATCTGTCCAATCAATTCTGTAAAAGTAGGACACATTCAGAAAACAATAACTTCTAGAGAGAGAGAACACTAAATAGTAATTGTCATTATGAAGCACTATTTGCTTTTTTTTTTAGTTTCCAGTGAGGAAAAGTTGTCCCTGGTACATAGAATTGTGACTATTCACTGCATCATTATTGCGCTCACCAGACGGGGGCAAGTGTTTTATATTTTACAATTTTCGTAGACTATTTCTTCACTAAATCCACTTCTTGGACGTTTTGAGGCAAGAAATTTAGAATTTAGTTGATGTCCAGTAAGCTGTAGTAATATAACCATTAAAATATTTGAATTATGAATACATTAAGGATTTACATAGTCGAATCAGAAAAGTATTGCCTCTAGTCGACTGCTAGTTGATTCGTGTTGTATGTGTGTATATCGGGAGGGAGTGGATGTTACACACAGTAGCTCCGCCTTAACCTTGAGAAGCTGCAGTCTCTGTTCATTAGCCACTGTAAATTACACTGTACATTTCCAGCTAAACTGAGGCTTACTCTTGACTCTTCTTCTCTCTGCTTGCCTGCCATTCGCTGGCCTTTTGCAGAGCTGTGCATGTCCGCCAACTCGCCGGATCTATTCCATAGACTGTAGGTTTCTACTGTTTAAAAACAATATAATATCCTTTGTGTTATATCATAATAGACTGTATATTAGGAGAAAATCGGTAGTTCTATGCAAAATATGACAGTGAGCTCCCCATATAGTCAGAATAGTCTGATCCTCGTTTCATAGTGGCTCTGCGAAGGTTCGACTGGAAGACTGGGAGTGAAATCAGGCTACTGCTATCAAATCATTGAATCTTCTTGAAAACACAAGACATGTAGTGCAAAGAAGTTATGACAGTTGAACGGTTTCCTTTTTTAAAAGGTCCATTTCTGTGGATTCTGCAATGACATTCAAACAGAATAAACAGAGCATGATACATCCCACATATGGAGATACAGCAGCTATACTGTATATATCATATTAATGACTTGCCTGTTCATCCTTCCAGAAGCACCGATGCTAGACACTGCTGCAGCTGTGAGTTGAACAGGTGTTTCCTTCATGGGAGTCGTTGCTGCAGAACCTCTCTCATAGCTGGAGAAACAGCAGCAACATCAAGAGAATAAGTGCTACATGACACAGCTGCACACCCCTGTAATACATTCTGTTAAAATATGAAGTGTGGCTGTGTTAGCAGCTGGCTGACATGAGCTCCAAGGTTTCTGGTTAACGTTACACTTTGATTGGCAGTAATTTTCGGGTCTGTTGGGTCCAAATAACGAAGATAAATTGTAGGATTTGTCGCATGAAAGTAAAACTACAGTCCTGGTAGTAATTACTGAGTTGGTAAGTCTCCCTGTGGCCATGTTCCAGCTGAAGCTACCAAACAACACGTTGCGTTTAGATCGGGCTAAATTACCTGTGCAGCAGAAAACAGGCAACTTCGGCGTCACTCTGAAAACATTTGTCCCTCATCAGAGATTTCCATTTGGGGAAGGCCGCACCGATGTTGATCATTGTTTTCTGCCGTCGTCTGTCCACATTTAGTTTCACTTCTTCCTCTTTTCGCTCCGTCGCTTTTTCTTCTGCTAAATAACACGTACGATCCTCCATTTGTCAAAATGTTGGCTTCTCGGTTAGCCAGCAAACACTTCAAACTCATCTCATCTTCTTTCTTCTCCTCCGTCTGTTTTCTACCATCTGCACATGGATGCAGGGTCTGCAGGAGAGGAAGGTTCCGGTTTCCGCCTGTAGTCCGGGGAGTATTGACCAATCACGTTGCAGCGGGCTTTGGTTGCATGCAGGTAAACAGTCCGTGTGGAGCGCAAAAGAGGCGGAACGCATCGACTAAAATGTAAATCTGAACCCATCGGCTATCATCTGACAACCATTTAGCGTTTAAAAAATATGTATCTGCATTCATATGCAGATGTCTGTTTATAGAAATGAGCTGAAATGTCATCTGGATTTTACAGAATGGGACCTTCTTATTTCTCCTCTTCTCTTGTCTCTTCTCTCCTGTCTCCTTGACCAAAGCGAATTTATGGGGTAATTTTGTTGTTGAAATTCAGGAGCATTGATTTAGGAGGGGGCACTAATTAAGTGGGGGTCTATGAAAATTTAGAGCATTAAAAACTTCATTTCTTGTATTCTGGTGAAAATTTCTGCTCCAATTTCTGGTGGAAATGTCTTTATTAATTCAAAAAGAAACACAAAATTCAGGCGGCAGGTGACAATTCAAAATATAAAACTATTAGTAGTACTATAAGTACTGTGGTATAAACTCTCTGCTGAGTCAACACACGCTTTAGTCTTCTCGCCTTTTATGTGTCTTTTAAATGTGCATGTGGTACCTTTTCACGACAATGAATAATTATTATTCATTATAATATTATAATTCTTCTTTTGTTATTAACTGATGTACTCTAATGTCTCCTGTGTTTCATTGGGTTTTCTGTTTTCCACCCCTCATTTATCTCTTCTGTTCTTGTGTTGTTTTAAAGTCATCATTTAGTGAGAATTCATGATATTTTTACCACCTGCCCTGTACTGTGAATTAGCCTGTGTTAATGCTGTGCTGATATGGTAGTTTCCTCTTCAGACCGTCTAAAGGACACAGAACTGGATGAGACCTCGAGGTGGAAACAAACTGAAAACACTTCTGATCATTCATGTATCTCAGCACAAGTGCACACAAATGTTCTCTTCAGCATGATGAAGTGCAGTTCGCACCTTAGTTGTAACTTTTTTCATTGAACCCAGTTATAACACTGAGCTTAATGACAGCTTGCCTGGAAAGACTTACAGCTTTAGGAGATGGGAGGCACCGACTACAGAGGTCTTTTTTACATTCTGCCCTCTCTGGTGCACTGACCTGTTATCACCACTAAGGGTCAGCAGTTAGTTACTCTTAATGTTGCTGCTGTTAAGCGTTTTTAAAAAGGCTCTGATAACAGAGGAAGAGCTTAGCATGATGCAAATACACTCTCAAGGGCGTCAAAGTGGGGGGCACAGTGGAACAGCTTACCCAGGGCCCCAATGGGGGGAGGGCCCTTGCAAAAATTGCTGGAATGAAAAGTTTTTTTTTGTACGTAAAGTTTTACTTCTAAGCAAGTAGTTTCCTAACTAAGTTGAACAAATCGGTTAAGAGACTGAACTTTGTATACCCCCCCAAAAAAATTTAAATTAGTGGAGGCTCTGGGGGCCCTCTGAACCCTTCCAAAAGATGTAAAATGATATAGTCCACCCTGCACTAGGATTCATCTCTGAACTCTAAAGCCTCGTTTACACTACATGATTTTAAGCCAGATTTTCCGGTCAGCAAGCTCCGCCAGTCGTTATGTGTGAACTCATCAAAACGACTCCCCAACGCATCGCAGATGTCAGCCAGATATCTAACATACCAAATATCTGGCAGAGTATACGACATCCACATCCAGCCAATGAGAGCAGGTAGCTACTTTTTACCTCCACCTGTAGCTCATACAATACCTGCTACCTGCGTGTGCTAATCTATTCTTTTACCCATATTCTTCTGACTTTATAATAACAAACAACAGCTGTTTCGTGTGTAGTTTTCTGTTTCACATTTAACGTGCGTCTTCTTGACCAAATGTGGTTTGGAGAGCAGCCGTCGGGTGACAGTGTCATTGTCAGCTCGTGTAGTGAGTGACTTCCTGTCAGCGATCAGCCGCTTTTTTTTTGTCTCCTTGTTTCTGTAAATGTAACATGACTCTAGTGAAGTCTTGTTCAGTTGTCTTTTATGATACAGTTTAACAGGGACGTCACTAGGATTGAAAGACAGGGGGGGCTTAGCCCCCAGGGTATCTGTAACTCTTTGCACTTGCATCTTTTTTACTGGATTAGAACCACACTTATGTTAACAACCAGTGAATAAGCCAAGATGTTAACAGTTAAAAAGCGACAGACATGTTCTCTTCTTCCATTTCTCCTCTGTTGAGCAAAAGTTACTGTAATGTTGCTTTTCAAAGCTGCATGGGGGGCAATTTACTGAGGCCAGACTTACTTTACTGAGATGTTCATTATTTCTAAACTTCGCTCCGTATGTTGATGTCAGGAATATGATTTATTTTACTGACATTTTAGATTTGTTTCTAGTGAGATATTAGTGACGTTGCTATTGGAAATCATGTTGCTGCTCTAGAAATAACATTTAGTTAATAAAAACATTTTTATTTCTTTTTTAAAATAATATATGCAATTATTTAGTAATAAATAGGACTGATAAGACCATCGATAAAGAACTGAACTGTATGTCAATAAAATCCTAATGATTCCAACTCCTGAGTAAATCGCAACACAACCCGTACGGGAGAGGGAGTGGGGCGGACAAGGGACAGGAGATCGCAGACTGGCCTGCTGCGAATGGTCGGTGATCGTTCCCTCTGGCTGGATGAAGTCTGACGCTCCGCATGATCCATGATGATAGAGAAATATAGATGTCATTAAAGCATGCTGTCAATATTTTAGAGACCCCCCAAAATATCACAAATCATGCTTTTAGGTGAGCTGATGTCTTATTAAGGGGAGCTAAGCTACAACTGGCTCCCCTGTAGTTCGCACCCTGGCCTAGCCTAGATTTTGGCAACATCAACATATTTATTTATTACAGTCAATAAATGGAGAAAGTTAAATGAGTCAGAATATAGCAAATATAATAAATATCATGAAATAATTTAGTTTAGGATATGCCTTGGTGCCTAGACCTGCCAACAAATGCCTATTATAAGAAGAAAACAAAACAGCCCTCATTTCCTCAGACCTTTAGACCACTACTGACCTGTAGACCACTACAGACCTGCAGACCACTAGTTACTAACCTGCAGACCACTAGTTACTAACCTGCAGACCACTACTAAACTGTACATTTACATTTACTCATTTGGCAGACGCTTTTATCCAAAGCGACTTACATTTGAGGAACAACATACAAGCATCAACAAAACATCAACTACAGATCTACAACTGACAATACATACTAGTAAGAACAGCAATAAATACTAGTAAGTGCTCACAGTACATATCACATCAATGGGGTAGATACCTACGGAAGGAAGTAAGAGTTAACAAAAAGTGCAATCAATACAAAATCATTGTAGGGGATAGAAGAAGAAGAAGAGCACAGGAAGTGTATGTTAGAGGTTAGGAGAGAGGTGTTATAAGAGGAAGTGTTCTCGGAAGAGATGAGTTTTCAAGAGCTTCTTGAAGTTAGAGAGGGACGCCCCTGCTCTGATGGCGTGTGGTAGCTCGTTCCACCATCGTGGTGTCACAGATGAGAACAGGGACTGGGATTGCTTTGTGTGAAGGGATGGCAGAGCCAGGCGGCGTTCGTTGGAGGAGCGTAGCGGCCGAGAAGGAACGTAAGTTTGTATTATGGAGTTTAGGTAGATGGTGCAGACCCAGTAGTCACTCTGTATGCAGCATTAGTGACTTGAATTTGATTCTGGAGGCCCCGGGGAGCCAGTGGAGGTCACTGAGTAATGGAGTGACATGAGTCCTTTTGGGCTGATCAAAAACCAGACGTGCTGCTGCGTTCTGAACCATTTGTAAGGGTTTCACCGCACAAGCTGGGAGACCTGCTTGAAGGGCATTGCAATAGTCGACGCGAGAGATAACCATGGTCTGTACCAGAAGCTGGGTGGCTTACTGAGTGAGGTAGGGCCTGATTTTCCTTATGTTGTATAGAGAAAAGCGGCATGACCGAGAGACAGTAGCAACATGGTCTGAAAAGGACAGCTGGTCATCAATCATGACACCCAAGTTTCTCACCACCTTGGATGGAGTGATGGTTGAGGAGTCAATTTGTAGTTTGATGTTATGGTGGATAGATTGCTTGGCTGGAATGACCAAGAGTTCAGTCTTAGAGAGGATTAGTTGAAGGTGGCAAGCCTTCATCCATGCAGATATGTCCGATAGACAGTCGGTGATCCGCGCCGAGACAATGGGATCGCCTGGTGGGAAGGATAGGTAGAGTTGTGTGTCGTCTGCGTAGCAGTGGTAAGAGAAGCCGTGCGAGTGAATGATCGGCCCCAGTGAGGTGGTGTAAATTGAGAAGAGAAGGGGCCCAAGCACTGAGCCTTGGGTACCCCTGTGGAGAGGCAGTGGGAGGAGGATATTTGTCCTTGCCACAAAACATTTTAGGAACGCCCCGAGAGGTAGGATTCGAACCACAGGAGTGCTTTACTCGAGATGCCCATTGCTGAGAGAGCGGATAGCATGATCCTGTGGTTGACTGTGTCAAAGGCCGCTGATAGGTCAAGCAGGATAAGAACTGAGGATTGGGCTGCAGCTTTAGCTGACCTTAGGGCTTCTGTTACAGACAGAAGAGCCATTTCAGTAGAGTGGGCACTCTTAAAACCAGACTGATATGGATCTAGGAGGTCATTCCCTGAGAGGAATTCTGAGACCTGAGACTGTAGACTACTAAAGACCTGTAGACCAGTTGACCTGTAATCCACTACTTACCTGTAGACCACTACAGACCTGCAGACCACTACTGACCTGCAGACCACTACTTAGCTGTAGACCACTAACTTACTGACCTCATAATCAGCTGCCCTGCCATTCTCCTGCTTCTCTCTCCTAAAATATCTTCAATATTCATCTGGTCAATGAATTAAAGGATATACCAGAGCAGGGACACCATAACATTTAGTTTTCACTGAAAACAACATTCTAGGGGGACTGATATTGTTTTGAAATAGGCTACTAGAGATGGGTAATATTAATGGCATTCACACTACCAACACTAGTGTTTTCATAACCAACTAAAATATCCCTTTTCCTTTGCTTCAAGTAAACATAGCTTAAGTTCAGCAATAACCTGTCACTACACAACACTGTGTCTTTCATAAATATTAATTATATTTGTATTATTCAATAGTATTTATCAATATTCGTGCTTCCCTTTGTTGATAAATGTCTGCACTGTAAAAATTATTTTATTATTATTATTTGGGGGGGCTTAGAACCATGTTAGGGTAGCTTCAGCCCCCCTAAAATAGGCATCCATGCAATATAATAAGCATTTTCTCAATGTAGGGCTATGACAACTAAGACGGTATTTTTCAGCATTGTCTTATACTATACTTTGGGAATGATGAATGCTTCAATAAACATGAAGAAATTGTTATTTTGAGCATGATACTCACAGCAAACCTCATTTAACCATAGTGAAGTAATTGTAGGAGACAGTGTGTTGAGTAAAGAGGGTCGAAATGTGGTGCACTGGAGACGTTGGGGACATTCCCCCAGCATATTTTGTAATTGCTGATTTTGTCGCCATCACTTTTTGAAAGTATTTGTTAAAAATGTTCTTGAAAACTTGTTTGCACCAAGAAATATTAACTAACAAATGAAAATGCTTTGAGTATTGTTTATTTGCACAATAAGAAAACATGCAATGCAATTTAAATGTAGAGGAATAAATGTGCATTGTCCATTTTTTGTTTTGTTTCCCTCCATAAACTGGAGCAGAAAATATCTCCAGAATGCAGGAAATTTTATTTAAATTTTCTAGGTGAGGACAATAGACTGTATATAAGAAGGACCCACAGCCCCCGTGCATCATCACATCCCTTGACCCAAGCATATCATCACACTCCTAATCTGAGCCCGTATGTCCCCACCACCTTTCAACACAAATGGCCCTTTTCATTAGTTGTTTAAATGTAGTAAGAAGGGTTCATTAGTGACTACCCTAATCACCAACACAGTTTAATGTGTACAGTTGTTGGCTCAATTATTTGTCGATATTTTTCAAAAGATGCATCAGAGACAGGGACCAAGAGAGGAAGGGAGCCCACAGAGACCCAGTTTTTTGTGCTACACCCCTTGGACCATACAGCTTAGATGACAGCTCACTTTGGTTAGTGAAGCAAAATGTATTGTAGATAAAAGACTAGTTGAGTAATGAAGGTATGAATGGCAAATGTAGCAATGTTAAATACTTTACTGGCCCAAAAAATACTCGAGTAAAGAGTGACAGTACAGTTTTTATAAAAGAAACGTGAGAAGATGCTAACGCCTTTTTTACTCATTTGCATTACTTGTAACGAGTTACTACCCACCCCTGCCGTTGGTATCCTGACTGATGGCGATAAAAGTAGCACCAGCACCAAAAGAAAAGCCTGTCATGTTGAGGCATTTTGCTGCACCTGCTTCGAACCACTACTTTTGTTTCTCCCCCTTAATTTTTCAGCACCACCTTTGGTTTCGATGCATGTTTTTTATCCATGATTTTTGAGCACAAATAACCGGGCAAGGTGTTGCTGATGTTCTGATGTGGAGTGCGTGATTGACTGAAATAGCCAATCATATTAAAACGGGTCCGCCCCACACCCGTGTGGGCTAGTACCCATACACTGTGGGCCAGTCGATCAAGGCGCATACCAGTCGAATTTCAGTAGTATGCGGTTTATAGGCCCAATTGTCAAGCGGCCCACAGGGAAAACTCACGAAATACTCCCAATGGCCTGTCCGCCCCTGGAGTTACAGCTTGTATGCAATTCCTGATATATTTATTTGAGAATTTATTCTTAGTAATGTCAACTTTTCCAAGGAATATACAACTAAGTTGCCTGTAAGAACATGTAAGAGGTTGCAGCTCACTCCTTGGCACAGCATCAAAAATGACTACATATTCTTTGGGCATAACTGGTAACCTGAATTTGACATTTCTCAGTTTGTATCTCCTCGACTCCTCACATTCTCATCTGAAAAGAGAAACCAATATAGAAGTGCTTTAAACCTGCATTCTTTCCAATGGCCAGCATGGGGCGACTCAATGACAAAATGTCCCTACTTCTCACAGGCAGCAGGATGTTGGTAGAGTGCAGAGATAACACTTTACAGAAAGGGACAGTGTCAGAGATCAGGCTACAGACACAGAATGGAATTCATGGGTGGGCTGGCCAGAGGCGAGGCAGGAGGTCCTATGCCGCGAAGATGTGGTCCACTGTTTCAAAGAGCAGCTGAGCAGATGTGATTTTGTATGGCTGCCTCTTTGTTTGGTGCACTTTGTTTTTTTCAGTTTTCATCTGTGATACCTGAAGCTCTCCCGCCAGAGGAGAAGTCATAACCATCAGGGGAACAACACCAGTGGATTTATTTCCCACTTTTTTCGTGTCGTCAGTGGAATTTTTGGACATTTTTTGTGGAGGACACACTCTTTGTTACCCAGGCTGTAAAGCACCAAAGGAAGAGGTAACCATGCTGGGGCTCCCATGCGTTTCCAATGGTGGGGACCTTGTAGACAGCTACTGGGATAATGTTTCCAACTTGTGCTCACTGCGCAGTAAACTTGACAAACTTCAGCTACTGGTGGGGAAAAACAGAGACTTTTATTCATCTTCTGTTCTATGCTTCAAGGAGACGTGGCTCTGTGGATTGATACTGGTGTCTGTGCTGCTGCTGGCCGGCTTCCGAGAGAACTGTGACACAGAACTTTCCGGCAAAAAAAAGTGGAGTGGTTTCTGTTTTTACAGTAACAGTGGCAGGAGACACCACCTTCATTGGGCTCATCTCTGCCTTCAACCTCATCAACAACAACCATCTGGTGACCTAGTGCAGCCAGAACTACCTAGAGCTCAACGGTTGTGGACTTTAGGAAGAACTCAGCCTGACTCTTTCCCATCATCCTGTGCGACTCCACAGTTAATACTGTGAAGTCTTTCCGCTTTCTGGGCAACATCATCTCCCAGGACCTCAAGTGGGAGCTGAACATCAGTTACCTCACCAAAAAAGCCCAGCAAAGGACGTACTTCCTGCGGAAGCTGAAGAAGTTCAGCCTGACAATGATGGTGCACTTCTACATCACCATCATTGAGCCCATCCTCACCTCCTCCATCACCATCTAGTATGTATCATCCTTTCCACAGATAAGGTGATCAGCTGCAATCTTCCATCTCTCCATGACGCCTTCAGGACTCTGAGGCGTGCAGGAAAGATTGTAGCTGACCCCTCCCACTGCGGACACAAACTGTTTCAGGTGCCTCCAGCAACCCCACCATTCCAGTAGGCCTCCTCCCCAACAAGTGCTTCTTCATCTCAGGTACCATTAGCACCTCCTCAGTTGCCTCCTGCTCATGCAGGCTGGTCAAACTCTGTAATGCAGCCCCAGTATCCTTATGACCATAACCAAGCTGATCAATAATACTGTAATGTCATTCCCCCATTAAGGCCCCCAAGCTCTGATACACAACCCACAACTGTACGCTACGTTATATTGCATTGGTCTAAGCTCATGACCCACTGCTTTATACGAACTCATTGGCCACTCTAGACCAACAGTATGGGCAGCCCCACCATTTAGCCTTGATATAGATGACCACTATATGAGGTCTACAAAATGTTTAACCTGGTGATTTTCAGGCGTTCCACAAAAAGCAATTAAGAGTCCAATCCCTAGTAGGAATGATGCAGGCTATGGGGGAGTGTGAGGGAGCAGCTGAACTTGCCTGTTCATCTCATGTAAAGCATCTCTTTAGCAAGCTACCAGCTGATTCAGTAGCCAACTTCATATGCTATATCCGTTCAGCCCGGCCAGAACCCACTTTACCCTGGTGGATTTTGCTACATGGCTCAGTGTCAGTTAGTGGCGGCTCAAGACACACATCTGACTCTTAAAACCACCATTCAGATCAGGAGTTTAGCACCAAGGCCTGCCCCCAAAAGCAGCCACCATACTGCATGGTACCAACACCCAACCCCATACCTCTTCCCATTCAGGTAAACTGGCCAAAAGCATGCCAATACAGCAACTCAGCTTTTCAATTCAATTATCTAATGCAAAGAGCTGAAGGGTCTGAGAACAGAGGACATATTAGCCTGGATTAAACAGGAAATGAAATGTTGGAGGTGTGCAGGACCACATATGGCAATGAACTGCAATCTGAAAGAGCAATGTCCCCCAGTGAGAAACATGTGGGCATTCTTCACCATGTTAACCAAAGAGAGAGAGACTCCAAGTTCCTATATCTGAATCCCCAGTCCAGCGCTCCCAAAATCCTTCTAAAGATGGTCAAAGTGATCCTATGGAAAAGACAACGTACTATAGATACCTATGCAATTTTGGATGGCTCTCAGCGAACAATGCTCAGCAGCATGTAAACTTCTAGGGCCCACAGAACACCTTGTAGTACACAGAATCTGGGCAAAAAACTGAAGCCTTAGATAGGACTTCAGTTGGTTTTGAAATTTCACCCTAAACCAGTAGTAATGGGGAATTAAGGCTCTTTTTGTTGAGAATTTATTTGAGAGAACATATTATTTATAAGGATTAATAAGTTAAGATATAAGTTAACATTTATATTCATAAATCTGTTGAATATGTAGTTAAAGGGAGAACTGCATTTCATTTCATTTGGAGTTACATTAAAAAGGGGACTTCATTACCCAGGAGGCTCTAGGAAAAAGAGTACGTGAGGTGATGACATCACTTGTGTGGCCGGAAGCACTGCTGTAACTCTTGTTTAGCACACGCTATATATGCATGTATTTTTGGCCTTTGTTTACTCACTAAAGAACGTCTTAATGGGATTAAAAGTCTTGCTTCGTCATTTTTAGTCAAGAGTTCATTTCTGCCTCACTCTTTCAGGGGAGCCGGATCTTATGGCTCCATTGCTGTCCGAGAGCCAGCTCTTTCCACTCCCAAACATCTCTTTATTTAGGACCACTTCTGCTTAGATTACAATCAACTTTATTGTGTTATGCAGAGTACGGGTACAGAGCAAATGAAAGGCAGTTAGAATCTAACCAGAAGTGTGTGTCTTCAGTCTTCAGATGGCCTGGCTCGCAATTTCCGACTAGTCTGTGCACAGGGGCCTTGTCATTTTGAAACAGGAAAAGTTCAAACACAAAATGTTGGAAGAACTATTGTCAAAGATTGTATGCTGTAGCATTAAAATTTCCCTTAACAAAGAAAATAACATGCAAAAACAGCCCCTCCCGTAAGTATTGGTACAGGGGTGTCCCAGTACTTTTGTCTATGTAGTGTATTTTAAAATAAACACAAGAGAAAGCCAAAAACAATATATAACAAAACACTAAAAGACAATGAAAACTGCTGTGGTTCTTCCCAACGTGCTTCGTAAACAACTTCTATCCTGTGTGGACTCTCATGTGTCTCTTAAGATGTGGCTGCTGATTAAATCTTTTACTGCAAACATCACAGCCAAACGGTTTCTCTCCTGTATGGACTCTCATGTGGTTCTTAAGATTTTCCGGTTGTGTAAATTTCTTCCCACAACCACCACAGTCAAATGGTTTCTCTCCCGTGTGGAGTCTCATGTGTCTCTTAAGATGTGGCTGCTGATTAAATCTTTTACCACAATCATCACAGCGAAACGGTTTCTCTCCTGTATGGACTTTCATGTGTTTCTTAAGATTTCCCTTATGTGTAAATCTCTTCCCACAACCATCACAGCCAAATGGTTTCTCTCCTTTATGGACTCTCATGTGTTCCTTAAGATGTACCTGCTGGTTAAATCTTTTACCACAACTGCCACAGCTAAATGGTTTCTCTCCTGTGTGGAGTCTCATGTGTGTCTTAAGATTCCCCTGTTCTGTAAATTTCTTACCACAAACATCACAGACAAATGGTTTCTCTCCTGTGTGCACTCTCACGTGTTCCTTAAGATGTACCTGCTGATTAAATCTTTTACTACAAACATCACAAGCAAATGGTTTCTCTCCTGTGTGGCCTCTCATGTGTGTCTTAAGATTCCCCTGTTCTGTAAATCTCGTCCCACAAACATCACAGACAAATGGTTTCTCTCCTGTGTGGACTCGCATGTGTTTCTTAAGATTTCCCTGGATATTAAATCTCTTCCCACAAACATCACAGCCAAATGGTTTCTCTCCTGTGTGCACTCTCGTGTGTTCCTTAAGATGTACCTGCTGGTAAAATCTTTTACCACAAACATCACAGCCAAGTGGTTTCTCTCCTGTGTGGACTCTCATCTGTGAATCTACATTTTCCTTCACTCTGAAACATTTCTTATTAACCAGACGGCTGGAGGACCTTTTTCCTGAATGACACTTCATGTGTCTCTGAAGAGACCCCTTGAGGTGATATTGTTTACCACATTCAAAGCAGCTAAATGATTCTTTCCCAGCATTACATCCTGCATCACTTACAGGAGCTTCCTTATATTTCAGAGCATTTACACCTGACTCAGGTGCTCTGGTCTCCTTCCAACCATTGTCACTGTCTTCAGTTTCAGCTTCAGAATCTGACAAAGGTTCTTGCCAGTCATTTTCACTGACTTCAGTGTCTGAAGCTTTTTCATCAGTATCTGGTTGTAAATGACTATCTGGATCAAGGTTCCCAGCAGGTTCTGATCCTCCATCAGTTTCTGTTTTTATCTGCGTAGCTGAGCTGCTGGCTGAAGGCTCTGCCTCTCTGTTGTCCTCAGTTTGTCTTTGATGAAGCTGTGGAGACTGAGGTTTCTCTTCCTCATCTTCACAGGAACAGCAGTGAATGGGAACCTGGTGATATCAGCCTCCTCCAGTCCATTAAGCTGCTCTCCCTCCTGACTGGTCCAGAGTTTCTCCTGTTCTTCTTTTATGTGTAGGAGCTCTGGATCCTCCTGGTCCAGACTGGGGCTCCACTCAGAGGGAGTCTCTTCTTTAATCACCAACAGCTGCTGGACATCTGCAGGCACTGAAACACACACCAAAAAATGTTGGCAGCCATTTTCTAGGACACAATATCGTACAAACATATCTATAATGTGTAAGATGGAGTTTCCTTACCAAATATTATATATAATATCACAGTATTGTAAAAAATGTGCCAAAAAAAGATTAAAATGTACTGATATACACAGTGAAACCATTTCAACAAGTTTTATATTGAAAACTACAAATAAATTTGACATTTTGTTTGCATAAACAATAAAATAACAGCCAATACCTTTTGCAAACATATGAAAACCATCTAAGTGAGCATTATCATTATCAAGATTTTATATTTTATAGTATAGAGGTAATGACCCCATGCACAATTACATGAAAACAAATAAGTCTTTAAAAGACAGTGATAGTAACTGCAATGAGCCCGACAACTGACATAAATACAGAGGAGTCTGCAGTGTTTCTCCTGTTCAGACACTTTTACAACTAATTTGATAGCTGCTGGATTTAAAAAAACAAGATGTGCTGGTTGGTTCACTAAATTGCTTAACGTGTTCTCGTGCAGTGGACGAACAGAGTCTGCAGACACACAGCGCACACAGACGCAGAACAACGTGTAGCGTTTTTACAAGAGCAGCTAACACTGAGAGCTTTAGCTTACAAACTTCCGCCGTGTTGTCACTGACCCAAACAAAGCCACGCTGCATATTTCTGGGAGACTGACACTAACTTCGGTTGATGCTGGACAGTATTTCCTGTAAGTTTATAATAGAGCGGTAACCAAACCCGGTTATCATGGTAATTAAAATGTGCACGGTAATAATAAACCTCGGGAATTTTAGTCACCATCAACTTTGGGTCTGGAGGAAAACAAAGTCTTACCGGTCTTCTTTTTAGGCATTGCCACTCCACTTGTGATTCTCCTCTTTACAATCCTTGCTTGCAGATCAGAGATGTATGAGTAGATTTTTCCAGACTTCAGGGCGTATAACTTGTGTCTTCTGCTGTTTTTCTTGTACAGCCTTCTGAAACTGTAATTATGCAAATTTCAACCATTAAAAATCAATTAGTCATTATAACAACTGATAACCTTGAATGGCAAAATGTTAATAATTACCACATTGAATACACAGATTGTAAATGGGAATGTAAATATTTCAAGTGTAAAACGTACATCTCTTTGCCTTCTGCTGTTTTCATTGTTGATCGGTTCCGGTGGAAGTTATAGTCCAGAGCAGCAAGCAGAACTCTTGCCTCATAAACTGGGGGACTGAAGGTGAAGCGCTTGCTGGCATACATCAATATATGATTCTGGAAAGCCTCTAGGTCTGCAGCTGATCTGATACAACAAAAAATGTATTTATGTAATTAAATAAGCACAAATAATCATAATGTACATCTGTGTGAAACATGTGGACATTTTACCTGAAGAGCAGGTATTTATGCACATGCTTCAGCCAACGCTTATTTAGAATGATGTCCACTAAAGCTTTGTGGCACCTGGAGTCTTTCTGGATCCACGCCTTTTCTTTAAGGTGCACATGTTGACACTTTCCCATAGTCCAGGTGGGAATGTCACACACATGGTGAATGATACCAAGCCACAGTGCCTGTAAAAAACAGAGTAGCACTATAAAAAGATGCCTCTCATGGAAATGAATTAACAGAGTAAGATAAACAATATAGAATCTGAACTTGTTTGAATAACAATAGACAAACAGAGTCTGCTTAAACTAATACCACACAAACAACTATATGTTAAACACACCGTGTAAACATCCACAGTGCAGGGTGGGAAAATTATGTGAACCCATAGGATGAAGACTTATTGGACTAATTTTAAAATTGAAGTTAATTGGAGTCAGCCAACCTGGAGTCCAATGAGACAAGATTGGATGTGATTATAAGAGCTGCCCTACCCTATAAAAAATACACACCAATTATGAGTTTGCTATTCTTAAGAATCATTGCCTGATGTGAACCACGCCTCGAACAAAAGAGCTCTCAAAAGACCTAAGATTAAGAATTGCGGATTGCATGAAGGTGGAGAAGGTTAGAAAAAGTATTTCTAAAAGCCTTGCTGTTTCACTGTAAGACAAATTGTCTATAAATTAAGAAAGTTCAGCACTGTTGCTTCGCTCCCTAAGAGTTGCCATCCTCTTAAGGATGATTGCATGGACACAGTGCAGAATGTTCAACAAGGTTAAGAAGAATCCGAGATTGGCAGCTGAAGACTTACAGAAATGTCTAGAACTGTGTAGACAACTCTACGATATGTCAAACACTAAACACGAATAGAGGTCATGGGAGGACACCATAGAGGAAGCCATGCTGTCCAAAAAAACCCCATTACTGCGCATCTGAAATTTGCAAAAGAGAACTTGGATGTTCCACAGCACTACTGGCAAAATATTCTGTGAACAGATGAAATGATTGTTTGACAGGAGCACACAACTTTATGTGTGGAGGAAAAAGGCACAGCATGCTAACATCAAAACCTCATCCCAACTCTAAAGTATGGTGGAGGGGGCATCATGGTTTGGGGCGCTTTACTGCCTCAGAGCCTGGTAGCCTGTAGCATCAGCGGAAACATGAAATCAACAAGAAATTTGAGACTCTAAGGCCATCTGTCCGCCAATCGAAGCTCAGCAGAAGCTGGGTGATAGAACAGGACGACCCAAAGCACAGAAGTACATCAACAACAGAATGGATTCAGCAGCAGAAAATCTGCTTTCTGAAGTTGCCCAGTCAAAGTTCTCACCTCAACCCAATTGAGATGCTGTGGCATGACCTCAAGAGCGATTCACACCAGACATCCCAAGACTACTGCTGCACTGAAACAGTATTGTAAAGAGGAATGGTCCTATTTTAATCCCAACCACAGACTACACCAGATGATTTCAGTGATTAACACACCTTCAGCCAGAGAGGAGGGGCTAAACAATGAAATCAACTTTTTTGTCTTTGATTGGAATGAAAACATACGTACTCTGTGAGGAATGGCACATAGTTAAATACCCCTGATTTAAGATATAGTCACTTTTTGAAGAATACATACTGTAGACAGTAACATGAGTCACTTATTCAACTTACAGCAGCTATTTTTTTGACCAGGTTCTTGGCACCATGCCACATGTCCTGACTGTGATGGATTCCAAGATCCTTGCATCTGCCTTCATCTGGGTCTGTGAAGTGGGGAAGCATTTATTATTACTACAATATTTCAATCATCTTTTCAACTAGGGCTGCACAATTAATCTAATCTCAATTGCGATGTCACCCTATTCAATTACATAAAGGGTGTGATTATATTAAACAAAAAAAGTGTGCTGTGTGTTCGACACTCTGGTCTCTTTGTGCACAGCAGTGTGCAGTGCACTGCAGATCGCAGTATTTGTTTTGCCATTTGCTGGGACCCAATGACCAGGATCTCTGTTTTGTCTGAGTTGAGCTGGAGGAAATTATTTGACATCCAATTTTTGACATCACAAAGGCAATCGGTAAGTGAACTCAGCATTCCAGGGTCTGTGGATCTGAGTAGATCTGTGTGATCAGCATAAACATGAAAAGAGACACCATGTTTCTCAATAAAGTCTCCAGGGGGAAGCAAATAAAAAGGAAAATAAAATGGGTCCTAAGACCGACCCCTGAGGCACAACATATTTTACTGGACAGAATGAAGCGACATAGTTATTCACAAAGAAACAGAACCTCCTATTTGACAGGTAGGATGAAAACCATTTTAAAGCTGTACCAGATATCTCCACCCAGTACCACAGTCTGTCGAAACATGATGTTGTGATGAATAGTGTCAAATGCAGGGTTACGGTATAGGAGTACTAGGACTGAGCACATGCCATCATCAGCAGATATTAAAAGGTCATTAGTGGCCAAGTGATGCTGTCACCATACAATGTTCTAGACTGACAGTAATCTGCTGCTGATGCTTTTATCCAAAGCGACTTACAATTGCTATATATGTCAGAGGTCGCAAGCCTCTGGAGCGTGCCTCAAGTGTCTTGCTCAGGAACACATTGGTAGACATGTCACAGTGGGGAATTGAACCTGGGTCTCTCACACCAAAGGCATGCATCTTATCCACTGCTCCATCACCACCCCTTACTCCATAGCCCCCACCACCCTGAGCAGTCGACCGTTGCTGAGCACCCGCTGCTACAGAGCTATACTTGACTATTTACTTAATTGTAAAAGAAAGTTACGACCCTAAAACTATGCTTAACAACATCCAGACAACATGCCTAACACTAAAGCCTCCAAACCTGCAGCGAACAAGCCGGCTGAGGAGCTACACCTCCTGATGCGGATACTGGAACCCTCGCTATGGAAATATGCCAGCGGTTTAGACATTAATGGCTTTGTGATGCGTTATTTTGATGCGTTTATTTACACTGTTGTACAAGCTGTACAGACACTATTTTACATTGTAGCAAAGTGTCATTTCTTCAGGGTTGTCACATGATAAAATAATCAAATATTTACAAAAATGTGAGGGGTGTACTCACTTTTGTAAGATAGTGCAGCTACAGATGCCAACATGTTGCTCTGCAAAGATTTGACATGTATTTGTACATTATATCAGATGAGTACTTACTCATAAGGGCTGTGATCTGGGCATTAGCATCTGTGCAGATCTCCTCTTGATTTATCTCTGATGTAAGCTTGTCTACAGTCTCGATAAAACCCTCCTTCTCCATGACGACAGAGTTGCAGGATGTCTGCTGCTTGTTGATGGTGGAAACATGAATGATCCCTTGGTGTCATTCTCTGCTGAAAAAAAAAGTAATAAAAATAAAATCCAAAAATTATATAAATGAGTTAGCTGCTTACATACAGTCACACTGCCTAATGTCTTCAATACTTGTATAACATGGTAAAGTTTCAGCTACGCACCTAGGACCACAACATCTTTCCCCTGAAGGCCACTGAGGGCCTCAGTCCTCCTCTCTTCCCAGAAGCTCTTCACTGTGTCCACACAGTAAGCGTCCTGAATGGACACGAAGGTGTTCTTCTTCACCATCCCCATGTTCATGAACTTGAACAAGAGGGCGACCTTCGCATAGTCGTTGCCAGACAACAAAATGTTGGTGGACAAGAGAAAATCTCCAGCTTGCGTCCCACACTTCATTACAGGCTGGGAATTCCACCTCCACAAGCTGTGTCCATTGGGACAGATCTGAAAGTCCAAGAAAAGGCAGGATTGCATTTGGCATGTACAGCACTGGCTTTCACTACAAATGTCTTTTAATGGGAATTTACAGTTATGATACGCTGCGACTGTCAGGACTTACCCATTCGACACTCGTTGCTGTGCCCTTGGAAGTGATGTTGATCTCAAAGGGGGCAACACAGTCACACACCACACCAGTCTTTAAAAGGCCTGTACATTTTTTCACAGGCAGGATCAGAAATGTAGCCAGCTGTCTCAAGCAGTCCTCGTATACTATTGAAGCTCTGGCACCAACGATGTCATCTTCACAAAGGACCTGCTGTGGGGATGGGAAAACAGGGTCCTGATCACAGGGAGAAGCCTCATCAGGAGGGTCTTCACGTGCAGGCTGGTCATGCGCTGCCTCGCCCGTTCCAATAACTGGAAGTCGATCGATCGATGGTGCTTTCTTTAATGCTCCACCCATTCTGTTGAGGCACAACATGAAGGCATATGTGTAAAGATTTGAATAAAAGCTGGCATCACAGAACAATAGCAGAGTAAAGACTGACTGATAACACACCGTATACAAATGGGTGGAAGATCCTCTTCATCAGAGCTGTCATCTTTATCTCCATCATCTTTTTCATGAAAGGAAGAGGAGCCTTCATCTGTCCAATCAATTCTGTAAAAGGAGGACATATTCATAAAACAATAACTTATAGAGAGAGAACACTAAATAGTAATAAATGTCATTATGAAGCACTACTTATGGCCCTTTTCCACCTCATGGTACCAGCTCGACTCGCCTCTACTCACCTTTTTTAGTTTCCATTGGGGAAAAGTTGAACCTGCTCGTATCACCTCCATCGAGGTTCCACACCAGCTGATTTGAGCTGAGGCTAGGCCTGTGCGATATGACTGACAGTAGAAAAAAACGTCTGTCGTTTATATATTTGTTGTTTTAAAAATCCCACACTTTACAGTAATATTTTGTTGAGGGAACGGCGCTTTGCACCGCGATGAAGTTAGTTTGAAGTTCTATGGAACGTCCAACGTAAAACTAATATCCAACTTTCATCACTAAATCCATTTCTGGTAAGTTTTAAGGTGTGACTGTGTAGACTGTGTAACATAATCAACTTTACACTCACAGAGCCCCCAATCCCACAGTCACACAGACCACTGCAGCAAACACAGCAGACGAGTCCAGCAACAACGGCTGATCTAAAGCAAAGCAAGTCGAGCTGAGCTGGTAGCAGTGATGGAAAAGCGCCATTACACACTGTTCAAGGGGTTACACACTGTTCAAGGGGTTACTGAAAACATTGTGCTTCTCATCCATGCTCATGTCCTGTAAGCTGTAGAAAAAAAGCATTAAAATATATAAATTATGAATATACAAAAAACAGAAGACATGTAGTGCAAAGAAGTTATGACAGTTGAACTGTTTCCTTTGTTCAAGGTTCATTTCTGTGGATTCTGCAATGACATTCAGACGCTCATCTCTGAAAAGAAGAACCAGAGCATGATACATCCCACATATGGAGATACAGCAGCTATACTGTATATATTATATTAATGACTTGCCTGTTCATCCTTCCAGAAGCACCGATGCTAGACACTGCTGCAGCTGTGAGTTGAACAGGTGTTTCCTTCATGGGAGTCGATGCTGCAGATCCTCTCTCATAGCTGGAGAAACAGCAGCAACATCAAGAGAATAAGTGCTACATGACACAGCTGCACACCCCTGTAATACATTCTGTTACGTCCTAAGGTGCTGGGAGGGTCGGCTCGCCTGGACAAACTCACCAAAATAAATCAGGAATAGCAACTATCAGGTCAACTACAAGCATGATCTCAGGCATGGATAGTGAACAAACTGGGAAATATATAAAAGTGTCTGAAACATAAATGTAATTTTGTTCACTTGGATGAACAGTTTCTTTGAATATAAACTGAACACAAATCCATTAATGGAGGCTGTGGGATGCAAATCAACCTTTGGCCATGGCATGGACCTGTGCATCAGATTCCACCTATGTGCAATGACAAACAACAACATCGCTCCTTTTTGTAAACAAACAGAGCAAGTAAACAACATGTTTGACCTTTGATAGGCACTGCACAGCGTTTTGACTGAATAATCAGCATTAATAAATAAATCTTTCCCAGCAGGACTGTAAAATATGAAGTGTGGCTGTGTTAGCAGCTGGCTGACATGAGCTCCAAGGTTTCTGGTTAACGTTACACTTTGATTGGCAGTAATTTTCGGGTCTGTTGGGTCCAAATAACGAAGATAAATTGTAGGATTTGTCGCATGAAAGTAAAACTACAGTCCTGGTAGTAATTACTGAGTTGGTAAGTCTCCCTGTGGCCATGTTCCAGCTGAAGCTACCAAACAACACGGTGCGTTTAGATCGGGCTAAATTACCTGTGCAGCAGAAAACAGGCAACTTCGGCGTCACTCTGAAAACATTTGTCCCTCATCAGAGATTTCCATTTGGGGAAGGCCGCACCGATGTTGATCATTGTTTTCTGCCGTCGTCTGTCCACATTTAGTTTCACTTCTTCCTCTTTTCGCTCCGTCGCTTTTTCTTCTGCTAAATAACACGTACGATCCTCCATTTGTCAAAATGTTGGCTTCTCGGTTAGCCAGCAAACACTTCAAACTCATCTCATCTTCTTTCTTCTCCTCCGTCTGTTTTCTACCATCTGCACATGGATGCAGGGTCTGCAGGAGAGGAAGGTTCCGGTTTCCGCCTGTAGTCCGGGGAGTATTGACCAATCACGTTGCAGCGGGCTTTGGTTGCATGCAGGTAAACAGTCCGTGTGGAGCGCAAAAGAGGCGGAACGCATCGGCCGAAATGTAAATCTGAACCCATCGGCTATCATCTGACGACCATTTAGCTTTTTTTTTAGCTAAACAAATGTATCTGCATTTAAAGGCGGATTTCTGTTTATAGAGTTTAGCCGAAATGTCATCTTGATGTCTCCGAAGTTGCTAGTCGGACTGTAAACAATGACCGGCGCGCGAACCTCTGATTGGCTCTGCCTGGATAACCCTGTATTCTAGAGTTAGGGTAAATAAATAAATGTAGGTAGTAATTAAATTATACAAGGAGACATAAATGTATATATCTATTTTAATAGCTTCTTTACTATTCACCTTTGTAATAATTACCTTATTTATTTATTGTCCATTATAATCTTCAACTTTATTTATTAATTACTTCTTTTTTAAATGTTTTTATTTATGTGTGTGTTTTAATATTTTTGTCTGTTTTATTCTTCTGTTGCATTTTCTACCCTATTTATTTCCCCAATGGTATTTATTTCTGCATGTCCTTTTTACATTTCTCTATGCATTTCTGCCTCATTTTACAAATGAGGAGGGGCTGTGTCTCAAGGGGTGAACTTCTCCCCCATTGGTGGACCAGTCAGATGGGAGAGCCTACTTTACCTGCACACATCAACAAGCTTGCTCCCCACACAGTCAGATGGCTTCCTTCCCTTTTTGTGTGGACGCTTTGACAGAGTGTTTTCAGTTTGCTGCATGCATGGACACAGAACTGCAATATAGGGAGAAGCACACAGTCTCTCCGGGAACCATCACCTTATCGTGGTGGAGAGGTTTGCGTGCCCCGGTGAGCCTGGAGGCTGTGTTGTCTGGAGCCTAGTGCTCCTGGTAGGGTCTCCCAAGGCAAAGTGGTTCCAGGTGAGGGGCCAGACTGAGAATGCTTCATAAAGATGCCTGATGAAACAACGAGGAAGAGGAGGAGAGACCCTGCCCGGAGGAAGCCCCAGGCCCTCGTCTGGAGCCAGGCCCAGAGAGAGGCCTCGCCGGCGAGGCACAGCCCGAAAAAGCAACGTTGCACACCCCTCTCCATCCTTTGGACTCACCACCCATCAGAAGATCTGCAGGGGTCGGGTGCGCTGCCACATGGGTGGCAGTGAAGGACAGGGGCCTCGACGGACCAGACCTGGGCGGCAGAGGCTGGCTCTGGGGACGTGGAACGTCACTTCTCTGTGGGGGAAGGAGCTTGTGCGGGAGATGGAGCGCTACCAGTTAGATCTGGTGGGGCTGACCTCCACGCACAGTCTTGGTTCTGGAACCGCACTCCTTGATAGGGGATGGACCCTATTCTTCTCTGGAGTTGCTCAAGGTGTGAGGCGCAAAGCAGGTGTGGGGATACAAGTCGGAATCGGAGCAGTGCAGATGGCAAGAAGCAAGCCTCGGGTCATCTAGTCAGAAAGCTAGCACTCCTGTTAACCATCCTGCACCCGGGTCAGCGAACATCCCCGACAATCACTCTTGTGGGGACCCGCCTGGCCATCTCCCCTAGGCCACAAGAACCGCAATTACCTGTTGCCCCTGTGTACTTGCATCCCCCAGTCTCCAAACAGATGCAGCTAGCTTTAGTTTCCCCTGGGCAACAGCAGACCCCCGCTCTGGAGTTATTGCCAACTCCAGTTTCCCTGGCTCAACCAGCTTTCAGCCCAGCTGTTGACTTCTCCGATCCAGTCGCCAGTGGAGTCCAAGGATCCAGGCATCCAGCTGCCCAGTCGTTGATCGTCAGGCCGGTTTTCCAGTCCCTGGGCCTAGCTGTCCAGTTGTCGGTTCCCAGCCCAGCTGTCGTCAGCCCTGCGGCCTTGTCTCTGGTTCCCTGCTCTGCTGCTTCGCTGCCTTCAGTCCTGCTCAGCCTCCTAAGGGCCTCCTGTCCAGCCTCTGGAGAGGTCTCACCTTTGTCGCCAGCCTCCTGCCCAGCCTTCTCCTGGCCCTGTGCCTGGTCTCCTGCCTGGCATCCTGAGATTTCCAGTCCTTGTCGTTGGCCTCCTGGCCTCCTGCCCGGCCTCCTGCCCGGCCTCCTGCCCGGCCTCCTGCCCGGCCTCCTGCCCATCCTGAAGTTTCTAATCCTCGTCTGTCTTCTGTCTAGCATCTGGAGGGTTTCTTCCCTCACTCAGTGAACTCAGTTCCCCTGTTCTGCCTTCAAGCTATCCACCTGATTCTCCCTGTCTGGTCCCGTTCCCTTCCACCGATCACCATCCTGTGATTCCCTGCTCTGACCCTTTCCAACCATGGACACAGAGACTCTATTTTGTTTTTCCACCCCTGGACTCTGACCCTCCTTCTGTCTACCTGCCTTTGTTTGGACTTCTGCTTCACCTTGAGTAAGCCTGAGAATTTCTGTTGGAGTTTTAATCATCATGTTCAAAGGTAAAAGCTCCTAAGGAGGGCAAAAAATACGTTATTTTCTGCTGACTGCCAACTAGGGAGCAAGCGATACACTGTTACTTTGAGTTTGTTACTTTTGTGTTGCCAAAATGCAAGATGGTTATTGTGCTATCCAATGCGCTAATTGAGAAGGAGACAAGTTTGGACTGTGTTAGGTGAGGGATTCCCCACAAGGTAAACATAAACATCACTGTAGTCGAGTGCTGACAGGGACCTGGCAGTTTTTAACAGAAGAAATACAGCAGCAGGTACTGTATATGGATTGCAAATGCCCACACGCGACTCTATGGGGAGTCCGGTGTGAGTCCCCATCCGGCTCTGTTCTGTTCTCCAGGTCACAGCACATGCTCTGGTGTCCTGCATTTGGGCCCACACTCTATATTCCTGCCTCTGCCCTCAGCGAATCTTGACATGCCTTGTTGTCATGGAGGAATAACAGCCCACATTTGTTAACACAGTGACAAGTGCCAAAATTATCTTCTTTATTTCCCCAACAAATGAAATGTTTTAACCTCCTGATAGTGGAAGAAAAAAACATTTCGAATGAGATCATGAGGGCGTTTAAACAATATCCATAAGTTCAGCATCATCCACTGGAAACAGTCTGTTTTGCATCTGATTTTAAGGGAAATTTATGCTAAATGGGATCCAAACCATGCAGGCTGAGCATGCCTAATCAAGCCCCCACCGACCACACCATACAAGACCACCATACAGAGAGCGTGTGAAAGAAAGGAGGCGAGGAAGACATCACTGTATGGTTGGTTCCCCACCTTTTCTCTGTGTGGCGACCAACTTTCACCATGAAAGGCCCAAAACAGTCAATGCCCGTAGACCAGAAAGGGAGTTTAAGCTGTTTAAGATGGGCTGGATGAAGGCCTGCCATTTTGGGAATGATTGGGCTAGCTCTCGATTTCAGTCTTGACACTGGTGCTGATGTTTGCTAATGGCTTGGCAACCACGCAGAATCCAATACCTGCGTCTCATTTCCCTTAGAACACGTTCAAGTCCTGGATGGAGCAGTTTCTCATCATAATGTTTGTTAATGAGTTTGGTTATGGGATGTCTTGGATCCAATAAAATTAGATGGACATTGTCATGGTCAAGTGTCTCTGCTCTTCGAAGACAACCTCCCACTCTGATGAGACCAAGATCAGGGTCATATTCAGGAGACAGGGAGAGTAGTCTGCTACCTTTACCTTATCAATTTTGAGGGCAGTGAATTCCTCAAGGAAGCACTCTGATTGGACCCTTTGAAAAAGATGCCTTTCTGAGATTATGCAGCATTTTGAGTTCTGATCTGCACATTTTTGGTTTCTTTTATCAGATCATCCCAGCTGTTGTATTTGTTTGGATCAGGGAGGTCGGTGCCATTTGACGTCACACTGATAGCACAGAGCCACAGAATATGGATTTCCTGAGTTCCTCAACAGGCTCTAATTCGGCTGGCACACATGGATTTGCAGGCCAGCTGTCAGTGTTCAGCAAAAGGAATGCAGGGCCATTATTCCATCTACGTTGCTGAGAAAGCCCTTGGAGGGTTTTGTCCCGTGTTATGTGATCGGCTGGATTGCTTTTTGAATCAACATATCTGCAGCACTTTGTGTCAGTCAGTCACTTGTTTAGGGTTTGTACCATGTATTCAAAGGAGCAGTCTAACACAACTCCATTGTTGTTGTGTTCAACAATTTGATGTGGGAAATACCATGTTTCCTGTGGTTGATCTACATGCTCACTGGGATCCTCCTTTGAACATAGCCAGATTGCACATGTTTACCCAGTTCCTCTTGGTATGTATCAGACAGTCTGGGATCTTTGGACAGACGTTTTTCTGTAGCGCACAGATAAGAAGACAAGACAGCTTCCTTTGGAGAATGAAGAACAGGAATGTTGGAAGCTCTAAGCAGTGGGGTGGCAAATCACATTACACCATCTGTCTCTACTCTAATAGTCTTTGAATTGAGTATATCAAGAGCTAGTTTGTCTTGTTTTGACCTTGTAGCTGTCTTCTCATTCACATACGACAAAATGTCAATCTGCCAGAGTTTTTCTACATTCCTAAGCAATTCACTTTTGAAGCAGGTAAGAGGGAAGGCAAGGGTGCACCGGGTTGGGATTAAGCGGGCTGGACCTTGGAGATCCCATCCTAACCTGGTCTGTACTGCCAATGGGCCACCATGGGGCCCCATGAGTATCGGCTCTGTTGCTGTGATGAGATGGGCATAGAGCCAATGAGGACAAGAGGGCATGCATGATCAAAGGATACAAGTAAAACCTCTGAGATGGTGATACTGCTCTTGTAGCTGCTTCACGGGTATGTGTGCTCAGACAGTTCAAGGTTCTCTGCAGTGAATGCTAGATTGATAACATACCTTTCAGTTCGTTTGTTAATGGCGGAAATTTCAAAGGATACAGATGCTCCATTCATTTGCACTATATCGTGTCTCACTGTGCGTAGTGGACTCTCATGTGTCTCTTCAGATTTCCCTGGACTGTAAATCTCTTCCCACAAACATCACAGCCAAATGGTTTCTCTCCTGTGTGCACTCTTATCTGTGAATCCACATTTTGCTTCACTCTGAAACATTTTATATTAACCGGACAGCTGGAGGATCTTTTTTCTGAATGACACTTCATGTGTCTCTGAAGAGACCTCTTGTAGTGATATTGTTTACCACACTCAAAGCAGCTAAAGTATTCTTTCCCAGCATTGCAAAAAAGCTTGTAGCCTGATAATCAGACTGTTAATTTTTAATGGCTGAACAAATTAAATGTGTGAAGTGATTCAGAGGTCTGAAAGCAGACAGACAACATAGTGCCATAGTATAGAGTTCAATTCTGACCTTTGAGAAAACAATCTCACTACCAGGTCCATTTAATAACAGTTCAGGAGCTTCCTCACCAGATGGAGTTTGCCAATTTGATATGATATTGCAGATAAATTGGAGACATTTTCATCACACAAAGCATAATGGAAACCCTGTCTGTAAAATATCAAAACCTGTCCATTAAGCTGCTTCAAACATGAACGCGGATGAAAGTCCCTGTCCTTGCACCATTACACAAACACCTGCCAGCTTGTCGTGTGGGCCCTGGAGGGCGACGGTGAACTCCTTAATAAACACCCTGTGGTATGTACCACGGCTAGACAAAACTTCGCAGAGAGCTGTGACCTTTTTTGATTTTTTTCTCAGGTGATGAGGCGGAAACTTTTGGTAAACCAACAGCTGTTAGGGCAGTGATTCCCAAACCAATCAACAGTATTTGTACTCCTGTAGCTGCCAAAGGGTAACTTTATGTGGAAAAATTGCAATGTAGCTCAACTAATTAGATATATATATTTACACTGCTCAAAAAAATACAGGGAACACTAAAATAACACATCAGCCAGGAAGCATAGGAACTGAGAAGTGGTCTGTGGTCACCACCTGCAGAACCACTCCTTTATTGGGGGTGTCTTGCTAATTGCCTATAATTTCCACCTGTTGTCTGTTCCATTTGCACAACAGCATGTGAAACTGATTGTCAATCAGTGTTGCTTCCTAAGTGGACAGTTTGATTTCACAGGAGTGTGATTGACTTGGAGTTACATTGTGTTGTTTAAGTGTTCCCTTTATTTCTTTGAGCAGTGTATATATATATTTTTTAGGAATTTCATTTAAAGTTTACATATATTTGAAACTAGATAACTACCTGACAAAACAACAAAAATAGATTAACAATGAAAATGTACAAACCTGATCTGTGTAGCAGACATGTTGGTTTGAAAACAGCATCCAGCAGTTAGCTGTAAAAATGGAGTCAACAACAAAAACAGTCAAATCAGTTAAAATCAGTTTTAATCCGTTAAAATCAGTTTGCTCTCTTACAAACAATCACTAACTGATGCTGTTGCTAGGTTACGAGCCTGCCATTTCATTTTCTGTTAGTTTAGCTAAGTCCAGCAGACAGTGTGGGACAAGTTTATTTTAACCCCTGTAGGAAATGCACACTATGTTTATGTTCACATGCACAGACACTTTGATTCCTGTTGGCATGTTATGTTAATACAGGTGATTTTCCCCCATCAGAGTAGTCATGTTTGCTAAAAAAGGGGCTGATGTGATTTGACAGTTTTTATGGATTAAGTTAGCAGAATTCTACATTTTCTTATCACGAACAAATCCCACAAAAAGACCCAAACCAGCAATGAATGTATCCACTAACAAGCAGCCTACTGCATGTGTATCACGGCCTGATATATCTTCTTCCTCTGTGCCGCAGAGCTCCCTTTTAGTCCAAAAATTATTAACATTAAAATAAAGTTAATTAAAATACTTTTTGCACTCAAAATCCAAGGTATTCAATATATGTAAAATGTTCAAGCTGTTAAGAATCTCTCAGATCACAGGTAGCTCTCCTATCTGAGGAGGTCGTGATCAAAGATGTGATTGAAATGGAGGGGCCGACTGCAGAGGTGAGGGTCTTTCCTGCGGTTTGTCTCTCTGGTGCACTGAACTGTTATCACCACTAAGAGTCAGCAGTTAGTCACTCTTTATCTTACTGGTGTTTTAAAAAGGCTCTGATAACAGAGGATGAGCTCAACATGATGCAAATACATTCTAATCAAAATGTAAACAGGTTGGAGTAGGACGTGTCGTCATGGAATAAGAGCCCACACTTTATTATCACAGTCACAAGAGCCTAAATTAACATTTATTTCCCCAAGATTTTCCACAACAAATCAATAAATCAAATATTTTAACAAAAAGAATCTTGAGTGAGCTCATGAGGAAGTTTTAGTTTCCACACCTTCAGCACCATCTACTGGAAACTGTCTGTTTTGATAGGAAACCTATGCAAACAGGGATCCACATAAAGCAGGCTGGTGATCTGTTCCCATTCCCACATGCATCGGTTTATGTTCCAGTCTGAAAAAGGCCTCGTCTCGCAGGCTGGTGGCGGCTCTATGTCCTGCTGCCAGACATTTTGGCAGCGCTGCAAAGCCTGACTCGTGGCTTTGGTAACTCCCTGATGCAGCCAAACCAACCACACCATCCACATCTGGCTTCATGTGTCTGCCTCCACTCCTCGCAGTGTTCTCAGACATGATCAAAATGGAGAAGGAACCAAAGAGGTCATGTGGTTAATCTGCACTCCAGAGTGTTACTACAGAGAAGAGGAGGACAGACAGGCCCTGCATACCAGATCTGCCCTCCCTAAAGAATGCAACTTCCTCGACCTGAGGACTGCTGTCATCAGCAGTCTGCTAAATGAAACAAACAAATAGGAGTTGTGAAAAGCTAAAGTTGTTTAAAACAGGCTACATTATTGGCTGACTAAACTAATGATTAACCCATGATCTCAGTTTGTCTGCTAAAATGATAGAGGTGTAAGCACACAGCTGCCCTATGATTAAACTGTATTTTCCAAGCAAGGCAGCACCACCTTTAGCAGAGTCTTTGTTCCCGTTTCCTGGGGAAAGTCATGTAATGGCTTTAAGGACACGGGGGAAAAAAACAAATATGTTTGGTCAGTTGAGCTGAGTTTATAAGAAGTTGTTGATCTCAAGAGTGAGTTTCCTCAGAAGTATCTGAACTATGGAACTATTCTCCATTTGTAGTGAATGGGAATTGCTTGGAGACAAATTTCACATTTTTGCACATTGAACTAGGTTAACAGTCACTATTTCCTCTATAATTAGTACCAATTTGCCTAATCCTTTCCAGTAATCTTACAAAGAATTTACAGGTACTCTGGGAAATTATGGGACCTGTACATTTCAGTGACAAAAATCAAGAAAGAATCACAAAACACACAGAAATAAAGTCAGTTTACTTTTATACTGATTTAAGAGGGTTATCAGAGTTAGAATATGTACTGATTGGATATTATCCCTGATTTACAGTGTGTCTTTGGTTTCTTTTCTCCTCCTACTAGCAGACCTACAGTTTGTGTCATTGCTGTCAGCACAATACAGACTTATTGAGGATCTGATGCCTTAGTCCAGTTTGAGAGGAGTGGCAATACATTTTTATGGACTTCGACCCTTCATCACAGCGCAGAGAGGAGTCCAGGTCTGGCAGGTAAACAAGCAGATTCCATAAGACGAGTCCTCGGGGAACGTCCCAAAATCCAAACCGAGGGACGAGGACACAGACTTCCTCGTTTGTCTTGTTGTGGGAAAATCCTGAATTTCTACTTCAGTCACCAAACAGATTCACATTAAAAAAAAGGCACTGAAAGTCAAGTAGAGCCCGCACACAGTGTTCATATCATCACAGTGTGGTAACATGTAAAAAAAAAAAAAAAAAAAAGTACACTTGTGGGCCTATGAAATGTAAGAAAAAAAAATATAATAAGTTACATGCCTTGAAATGCCCTCTCATGTTCAAACGTGTGTCCCAAAGAGCTTTATAGTTACACTCCGTGGGTTTTTGTGAGCTTCTACAGTACAATATACAGAGACAGACTCCGAACATAATCTGACTAAATGTCAGAACAGACTTTGGCCACTGCCAGCAGTGCACCGTCATTTTAGGGCCGGGAGACAGGATATTTTAAGCAAGTGGCCAACTCAATTGCAGCCTTGTCCCTTGTCAACAAACTGTGTACCACTAACAAGAACCTCCACTGTAACTCTGGCAGAGACTGATTGTGTGATACGCTCTAGAGTCATCCCAGAAACATGGTTGACAAGCTAAAACTAGTAAGCCAGGCTAAATTTTTAATATGGATTGAAGTCCAAGAAGGTTTTTGATTCTCTGCAGTCAGAAATATGAACCATGAAAACTTCAGAGTGGTAATTCTATACCCTCAATGTAAAACCCATCCCGTTATCTGTTCAAATAAACACTCGGGGCAATAAAATGTGACAGATGCTCCACCTGCACTGATACCCCTTAAGATGTTCCCTCTAAATGTAAATGCTCTGTACTTGGATAGCGCCTTTTTAGTCTTTGACCACTCAAAGCGCTTTTACACTACATACTCTAAGAGCATGTTAACTCACTTTCATAAACATGTTCTTTCAATCCCTCCCTCTTTGTGTCTCTTAATTATACTCTGAAACATACTAAAAACACAAAGAGCAACAAGAATTGAATTACTGGAACAAGCTATTTAGCCTGGTTTAAAGTTAAGTGTCTGGACCCATTTTGACCCTCAAATCACCAAAACATGCGTTCTGGGATAATGATTTAAAAAAACACAACAACCTTATACTGATGAATAAATCAGTCAAATTCATAGCAGCAGTAATTGTAGAAGAAAATATTTCCTTCATAAAAAAAACAAAAAAAAAAACACACAACTCCAAAACAAACAAACTCTTCTCAAAGTCTTCTTTGTATTATTCTTAATTCAGAAAGTCCTCAACATTTTAAGACAAGACTGGCAGGGTTGTCCCGTTATCACGTTCCCACGCTGGTAACTCGTGCGCAGACAGTTTTCGGTTGACGTGACTTCACTTGTGCATGTACAGTTGTATGAGACCCGCCTGGTGCAGCTGCTGCCACAGAATCAGTTCCATACGCATGTCGTGGTTGGCGAAGAAGGCCACTGGGTGGTGCTTGATGTCGAAGTAGTGGTCAGAGTAGCTCTTATAGTCTGGGGTCATGAAGCCGTACGCACTCACCTTCGACAGGAAAAACAAAAGGCAGTCAGCGCATGAAACAATCTGTCATCTGACTGCCTAAAAATCTAAACAGATCTCAGCTGTGACAAGCTCTTTGATTTCATGTTCCGTTACTTTCATCTTATTTTTCATTCCTGCCAGACAGGTGAAAAAGCAGTTTTTAAAGTCATGACATGCTTTGGCTCTGTGGGAACCTGCCAGTGATTTGATAAATACAGAAAAAGCACTACTTCATGTTTCCTGAAAGCACTTCCACAAAACTGGTTGGAGCGAGTCATTATCAGCACTATGACTACACATCGTCATAGAAATGTGCATTTACAAGGCCAACAGCTTAGTCAAAACATTCTCACGGTATCAGGCAAGTACAGACTTGTCAGTGAATAAACAGCTGGCTGGCAGAAATACGCAGTACTGGTGAATTCCACCTTGCTGCAGGTGTGCAGTGCAGCCAGCAGCATCACAGCTCCCGTTGTCGGCCGGTAAATGTTCCTAAATTTTTTCAGACTTGGAGAACGAAGGAATCTGAAACAAGAAAAAAAAACAAAAAAAAAAAAAAAAACACAACATAAATAAATCTGCTGCTGTGTTTGTGCTTTCAGACTTCAAACTTGAGCCATGCTTTCATTCTGTTCGCCTGCTCTGCAGATAATTCGCTCACCTGTTTCTGAGGTAACGGATGAAATCGGGGTGGTACATCTTGAACTTTTCTATTGACAGGTCCTCTCCAAAGTACTTGGAAGGACTGTGGAGAAAAATACTGTTTACTGTACATGCTAATGTTAGCACAGTGACTATTTTCTCCAGAAGAGTTGCAACACCTACATGGAAGTGGTAAAGATTAGACAGTGTGCAATAGGGAGGTTTGAACCACACACAGAGCGCTGCTCTGTAAGCCCATAGTGTGAGAAAAACACCTGTCTTCACTGGCTGCACACGTTTCTCTGAATGTAATGGAGTAAAAATAGTATAAAATACACACTGTAGCTACGTCAGTACTTTGGTACATGTGCTGAAGTATGTTACTTTCCACCACTGCTCACATACAAGAGTGAAAATAAGAGTGGAGGAAAAAAAAACAAAAACATGACAGCCTGCTTAAAGGTTCAGTGGGTAATATTTCCAAGGATCTATCGACAGAAATGAAATACGAGATCCATAACCATGTTTTCAGTGGTGTGTAAAGACCTTCCATAAACTGTTTTTATTACCTTAGCATGAGACGTTTCCATCTATATAACCATGGGTCCTCCCTTCCATGAAGGTCACCATGTTTCTACAGTAGCTGAAAACTGACAAACAGCGCGTTTCGTCACTGCGTTCTTGTGGAAGTTTTAGCAGTGTAGACGCTCATCACTATGTTGAATATGTAGAGTCGAAGTAGTACTAGTTATAATATCCGCCGGGGGGGGGGGGGGGGGCAAATAAGTTTTGCATCGGAGCAATTTTTTTTAGCCATTATACGGAGGGTGAGAGTATCAGACAAAATGTTTAAACTGCATGTTATGTTGTTTGGTTAGCTCATCCAGTAAAGTGCAAGACTCTCCTGGAAAGTTGCGTGTTTGATCCCACATCAGGTGAATTTATCTCCCCCCTCCTTAAATTATGAAGCAACTGTTTAATAAAGAGTTAACTGCAGTGTGTTTGATCTTCATCCAACAACTAACTGGCTGACTGAGATTTATTTCAGCACCGCTATCAAAGTATTTTTTTGCCGCCATGTTATCCAATGTGGCAGACTGTTCAGCCACTACAGCTAACCTATGCTCTGAAAAAAAAAAAGAAAAAAAAAAAAAACAAGGGGAGGTGGAAAACCGTTTGTAGCTATTCGCAACCTCGCTGCTAGATACCACTAAATCTTTCACACTTAACCTTTAAATGGATGGACGTGTGAGCGCACACAGTGGACGATACAGATTATGTACATGAAGATGATTAGAGGAATGAATAGCAAGAACAATGAGCCTGTAAGTGTTACTTACTCTTTGTTCTGCTCAGACCCTCTCTCTACTCGAGTGTGTGTCACTGCAGCCTTCATCAGCAGGTAGTCACGGTCGTGATCTGGCAGAAAAATGTATCGCGTTTCCTGTTGGAGAGCAGCAGAGTGTGATGCGACTCCGATCCTTTTACGTCATGATTTTAGCCTTTTATGGGAGGATATTTTAGTTTTTGCCCTCACCTTTGACTGAGGTGGTCCTCTATACCCGGCACCTGCGTAGCTCCTCATGGAGTTGACCATTGTGTTGGTGGAGAACGTGTAGTGGGTGGTACGAGACCCCACATCCTTCTCAAAGCCCTTAATGACTGCGCCATTGGTCCTGAAGATCACAGGAGCCCACAAATATGACACTTGACAGAAGGATCCCTCGTTATTGACTTCGTTTTAGTGCCAAAACTGCTGCACTTTAGGATGTAGGGGCATTATAACAAGTGTTATGATTTTAAAATATGTATGTTTGTGTGTGTGGGGGGGATAATGACTTGGGTGCATTATAACAAAATCATTGATGCGTTTTATTCACTTTAAGTGCACATATGATAGAAGTTATTTTCAGGAGGTTCATTTGTCGTTTTAAAAATAGTTAAACAATTTTAAAACAAATCTCCTTAGAGCCTGAAAAAGGCTTGGGTGGGGCCTCGACAGACCTTTGCAAACATGTGGCTTTCGAAACATGTTTTGCTATTGAGCCCGAGTCTGTATCTACCTGAACACATAGTGATGACCGTCGATCTCCTCCCCTTTCTTTGAATTATTCAGGATCCCACCGTTCCCCACCACAGCACAGCGGATGCACTCTGGTTTACTGCTGCGATCCTTCCAGTCGTCGAACATCTGCCAGTTAGCAGACGAATTGAGGACAGACAGAGTTTCCACCAATGCTGTTGACACATTACAGAATTAATCTAGATGGGAATTGCAGAACAGTCTTAAGTTGTTTTTTTTTTACAAAAATCCTTAAATCACAAATAAGATTTTGTTGCTGAACCACTGATTTGTTTGTCTATGTAATTGCATCCGCCTACAGATTCCGTTCAGTCTGAATGAAAACCGCTGTGGCTACATGTGTGGGCACAGAGAGGAAAGCTACCATTGTCTAAACGTGATAAGCATCTTGCATGTCCTCAAATGATCCAAAATCCTTAACATCTTCTGTGTGGAATGCAAATTTTAGATAACGAATCAAAGAGTACACAATCTGCTTTAGACAAACTTCGGTGTCTAAACATTTCTAATATGAATGTACTTTGCTGTACAAAAAAAAAAAACAAAAAAAAAAACACCCCGTGTAAAATCTCACACAGAAACTCCTGCACTCTACTTGCAGTCCCCCCCCGTATAAATATGAATTTCTGCAGTTAATGAAAAATCTTTTGAATTACCAAATGGGCAAAGTGCCGTGGGACCCCAGACTCTGAGGTCCAGGCCTGAGCTTCATTTTGTTTTTTTTTTGGTTGCAATTTGATGAATTACTGTGTGTAGTGTTATGCACCATTAAATATATAAAACAAATGAAATCCTGCATTTTTAACTATTGAGTCTGTCAAAAATCAATTTTAAAAGCTGAGATCATTCACTTGGTATTATGTTCATAAGACCAATCATCCACAGACTAAATACAACGAAGCTGCCATGTGTTGCCTGATGACTACTCAAAGTAAACACACAGTACACAATGCACAGATTAGGTTTTCTAGACTCACTCTGATCAAAGTACTTGCCAACCACAAGTGTTGGTGAGGGAGAGTGCACTCATTCTGCAAAAATAAATCATGGCTCTTTTATTAACCAGAGCAACGCGCTGCACTCAGCACCTCAGGCTTTTTGAAAGTGTGTAAATTTGATAACTGAAGAAGTCTCTTGGATGAGGGATGAAACGTCTTCTAGGATCTTCAGCCAAGTCCAGTTGCCCTTGACCTCAACCTTTGTTAGATCAGCTTCATTCAGGTGTCCAAAATAGGTTTGACCATCTCAGACAATCAATATAGGTGAACATGGCATTAAAAATATAAAATATAGTATAGAACCAACAGAAACTCACTCTCATAGTCGACCCCCCCCCAGCCATGTGCCCCTGGGTACCGGCTCAGGCGCTGGTGCTGTTCAGGAGTGACGTGTTTGGCCCACTGCAGGACTGGGATGTTTTTCAGAAACCTCTCACCAAATTCCGTTTGTGTGACCCGACTTTGGATGCCGTCTGGGCAGTCCTGAGGGAAGCAGATAACAACCTTGTTATCAAACCATATACAGAAAGTCTTATCTCCTCTCTACGACCTCGTACACACCATGTCCCACATGATCTTTACAAGCCGAGCATCATCTGTTCAACTTGCAAAAGCCGCCAACATTAACCTCCAGACTCCCACTGGAGGCAATTACCGAGTAATTAGCAACACACACCACCACTAACGACAAGAGGCTTCAAGAGACATTATGAATTACACGTGTTAGAGAATGTTCTTCTTAGGGGGCTTAATTGGTCCAACAGTGAAGGTAAGACAGGTCTAGCTTGGAGTCATTAGCTCACCCCACAAGTGTTCACTGACCTCCCAGCTCTAGTTATTTCTCACACGTAACGGTCCTTGTTAGGGAGGCAACGGTTTGATAAAAAAAAAAAAAGAAAAAAAGAAGGGTAGAGACAGCAGCTCAGGCGTCAGATCTTACAAGGTTGAGTCTCACAAGAACTCACTGGCTCCACAGATTAGAGTACAGCTCATGGATAGCAATAGATTACAATAAGACGTAGCACTGGAGACTAAACAGCAGATGGATGTTGTTCTAGGTTAAGGCCAGTGAAGATAACCCAAGAGGGAACTGGCTCACAATATTTCAACCACCACCATGGACATGCGAACACGTGGATGATGGCACCAAGCTTCTTGTTAGCAACCTTATCATCTTGTTAATCGTGTTATCTGAGGAATCAACAAGCGATTCGGTCTGTGGCCTCCCTTTTCTTAGGCAACAGCTCAAAGCATAAACTGCAGCGCCACAAAGTTTATAGTCTTTCCTTTAAAAGCTGTATCGTACAGAAGTACAGTGTGTGCATGGTAGGAGAATAACATGAAAGATTGTGCGAGTTGCCTTGTTTAAATTAAACTCTTCTGGAACCCTGTGATCACTCCTAACAGACTTTAAGGCAGATTTTTCCCTCATTTTATCTTGTGTGTTTTCTTATCCTCCCTCAGTTTTTCCTCCCAGAAGACAACTCATGAAGAGATTCAGGCTTGATGACACATTCAGAGCCAGGCTGTAGGAGACAGGACTCCGTTTTCCATGAAACATTTACTTGGAGGACAGACCCACCCAGTACAAGTGTGGCAGCCGCCCTATGACAGCGTTGTGAAACACATCACAAGTTTAAAAGAGGGATGTGTTACAACTTTCACTACCTGTTGGTTTGTGTAAACACAGCGTCTTTCCCACCATAATGAATGTTTACTCTTTAAGTGCTCTATTTGGTGCCATAAAAGGCTAAGACAGGTGACATTTAATACTTTTGTCAAACCCCACAAAACCAGACCCACGCCAACAATGAATGTAACTTACTAAGTATTGTGTTTGTCAAAGCAAAGCCCAGTGGTCTTGTTAAAAGCAGCAAGCCTCACTCTGCACCAGTTCCTTTTTTACCATGGGAAAAAAAAAACAACCCCACACACACCCCACCAAAATGCTCCATTTCCTCCTATTTGAGTAATGTTTATTTAAATATACAGTGACAAAGTTTTTAAAGAAAACAGCCTTAAAAAAAAAAAAACAAAACAATTTTTCCTGATGCAATTTTATAGATTTGTAGCTGCAGTAGTGACCTGTGGTCTTGGGACTGGGCACCAGAGGGAGGTCAAAGTATTAAGAGAAAAAACACAAAACAATGAACTCACCGTTTGTGGGGGGACGTCTTCACTCATGTAAGTGTCTCCAATGTAGGAAGGCTCTGTTGTCCTGGCTGCCTGAGTGATCCACTGAGGCTTCGGTGTAGGGCCTTTGGTCCTGATCCAGGTTTTATCCAGGCCATCAGAACTGGAGCTGGACTTTGAGACATCCAGGACGTTGTTCTCTACTTTTTGTTTAGAGACTTTGGATGTTTGAGTCTTTAAAGTCTGCGTGGCATGTGTGTGTTCATGCAGAACCTGGTGCTCTATGTGAAAGTGTAAGGCAGAGGGCGGCCGGGTCGCGCTGTCAAGAGGCTCCTCGGAGTCTCTTGAGACGCTGTGGAAGACAGAACAAGATTTGGCAGTGAGCCCGGCAAGTCACTGCTGGAAATAAAGCTCAGTCTCATTCAAGGTCAGGAGGGGATCTGTTCCCCAGAACATAGAAACCCAGACTGTAAATGATTATGCATCCCTTTGCTCGGGGCCAGACGCTTGAAACCGCTTTAGACCGCAGGTTTCTTGACCAGCTGATTTCCTTTTTAGTACTTCTGTTATTCTCTATTACTAAATTCTTCAAAGAAAACGGCTTGATGCAACCATTATTTGCTCAAGCTGTCACCAGCAATTTAGCTACTGTGGCAGGTCAGCGTATGTGTTTTGTTTCTAAGATAGCTGTGGGTAATCCCCTGTGAAACAAATACAGGTTTTGTGGGGACAGTTTGAGAAAACTTTTGACAGAATGTGTCCAAAGCAAAAGTTAGTCTAAAATGTGAAATTGGGAGGATCTGAAGTTTATGTAGAAAAGTTGATTTATGTCTTATTTTCACACTGCATAACTTGGAAAGCACATTACAGTCATAAAGAAGAGGGTGGAGGCTGCATTTTTCTTGAGATACCAAAAGGCTTAAAGGCACAGAATATATATTCGAGTCAATCAGCTTCTTACTAGAAGCGATGGAGTGAATTCTCTGGTTTTGGGTGCATGGGTTCTTAATAGAAAGGGGGAAATAAAAAAAACCACTTATTTTATTTATATTTTCTATCAAAATTTACCAACATACATTACCGGTCAAAAGTTTTACAACACCCATTTTTAGAGCCCAAGCAAGGTCCCTATTGAAACTGAAAGGATTATTATTCCCCCCCCTCCTCCAAAGGAACCTCAATATCGGGGGCCTAAAGATATTCGAAAACTCAAAAACTTTGCGCAAAATTCAGGAGTGGCGAAAAATTTCGTATTTTATGGATTTCGCAAATGGCCGTGGCAAAATGGCTCGCTAGCGCCCTCTACAGAGCAGCCCCCAGACTAAGTTTCACCTACGTGTATGCGTAAGCCATTGCCTAAAACCAACAGGAAGTCGGCCATTTTGGATTTAATGGTCATTTTTGGAGATTTACACACTTTGTACTTTAACAAACTCCCCCTAGGCAATTAGTCCAAGCGACTTCAAATTTTCAATGTGCAGTCTAAACCCATTGACAATAAAAAGTTGTAGAAACCGTTATTACCAGTCGACTGGTTTACCTGTGGTGTGCTGTCAAAACAACAAAACCACACACAACCCGATGAGTTGCCATGAAACAGGAAGTTGTTTTAACTTCAGTGTACATGCTCATAGACACAGAAAGTGAAGATTAACACATTTGTGCAGCATCTGCAGCCCATGGCAAATTCACAACCACACTGGCAGAGCGCCAGAATCTGCCACGCAGCCGCCTCACAGCTCAATGTGCTACAAGTGCGAGGGCCCGCCCATCGCTGCTTGCAGCTTTAATTCTAGTTTTTAAATTGAAATATAAAAGTAGTTCAAGTCCAGTGAAAGACCTTTTAAAAAAACCCCGCGAAAGTAATAATTTAAGCCACCAAAACAGACAGTTCTCAGCTATAAAATGAAGGAGTTTTGTTCATTATTTCAGTGTGGGATCAATTGGTGACCAGCTGGTTCGTCTTTTGTCAATTGCCTTTTAGTTGCAACATTGTACAAATAAGTGTTCAGAGGATTTATTGATACAAGCGGTTTACACATGACACCTGTTGAAAGTGTTTTTTGAATCAACTTTCAAGGCTTCATTTACTTTGATTGCTGCATAATAACCAAAAAAAATAATTTAAAGACAAGTTTACATTATTTCTCTAAACTTTAAGAACCCTTTAATTTTTCAGGGATTACTGGGCAGTATTGAGTTAACAACTTTGTGATTCTGCAGCAGTGGAAGTAAGTGAAGCCTGGAAAGTTTGTGCAAAAACAGGTTTCCTAATGTGTAAATACCTTGGAACAGTCTGTTCAATTCAATTTATATAGCGCCAACCAACAACAGTTCTCTTCATAAAAGAGCAGGTCTAGACCGTACTCTGTTCATACAACCTCAGATGCTCCATTTTTATTAAAACGGCAATTAATGAGGGAAGACAGCAGTTGGATCTCAGCTGATTCTATAGTGAAATGAATCAAACTTTAATTCAGTTAATTTTATCTGAAAATCTGATCTAAACGCTGCTTTGAACTTACTTTTGCATCATTAATGTTTTCACTGGACTTGAATTACTTTTCAATAAAAACTAGAACAATGGGGGTGGTCCAAAACTTTTGACCGGCAGGGTATATAAAGCAAAATCTGACTGTAGTTGCAGGGTTGCGCAAAACTCGTTGAAAGTTAATTCTCGACTATGGCTGCAACTAACAATTTTCTCATCATCAATAAAGATTAAAAGATGTCAGGAAACCGTGAGAAATCACAATCTCCCACAGCCCAACGTGTTGCCTTCAGAATTTCATGTTTTGTCCAAACAACAGCCCAAAACCAACCAACTTCTAGATTAGACAAGAAGCAAATAAACTGTTGGCCATTAATCGAAGAATTGTTTCAGTAGTTTCACTCTCACAAGAAACCAGCAAAATGCATGTACTCCTCAACTATGAATATTGTGCATTTAGTCAAATATTTAACTTTATATTAAAGTAGTAACTAACCCTAGTGTACACGACAGAAAACAAAATTGCAGTCTCAGGTAACCCCGGCCCTCGCCCTAACTCTTATTAGCTCTTCATTAGCAGCCCGACGCACCAGATGCTGCTGAGGTCACTCTCTCAGCAGAGAGTAAACCTCGTAAAGGCCCGTAACAAGACAAATGTAATAAAGCAGCTGAATTAAAGCTCAACTGGAACTTGTTAATGTTGAACAAAGATCAATAGGGTCAACTGCAGAGAGGCAGGAAGTCTGTTTGCATTTCATGTTGCCATGAAAGAATTTGTAGAAACAGGAACTAAAATTAAACTGCATGTCCCCAACCATGTGCACACGCTGCTCCCCTCGTCTCATTAACTTTTGTTCCCTCTTCTCTTAAAAAAAAAACTAAAACATATTTCCTTTATGAATATTTTTTGCATGCGTTTTGTTTTGAGGGTAAGAGAAAGATGTGATTCTCTTACGTAAATAAGAGGATTAAGAGGTTTATTTCCTCCCATTATCACCCCCCCCCCCCCCCCCCCCAAACAAGAGTTACATATTACAAGAATCTTTTGTCCCTTACAGTAGGTTTATTTCAATATTTACAGTGCTTTGACAATATTCTTTCGCAATGGAGTCCTTTGCATTTATTAAATGCAAAGTACTCCACAGTCCATTAAATTAACACAGGGTCTCATTAAAGGGGAAGAGCAGAGGATATTCACATTTTTTTTTTTTTACCCAGCTGTTCAGATTAAGAGAGCAGCTTTTAAAATGAAAGACCTGCGGGCTCCACATGCCAAACGTACCATTTAGTGTCTGAAGCAGACCTTTGAGAAACAGACGTCCTTCCCCCTCTAAGACTTAATGCATCTTATCTGGACCCGATAGCTTTTAAAGCTGGAGCACTGCCCGTTATAACAAAGCGTACGTTTCACACACGCGTGCAAGAGACCACCTCCAGTGAAATAACTCCAGGGGCTTTTCTTCATTAGTGCAGCCGGAGCGCTGTGTGGCTCCTTTGTTAAAACCACAATGATACAGCTAGAGGGGGAATAAGTGCTGGTTACAAAAATATAGAGCCATGGAACTTTTCATGCCACTCATGATCTAAGAGTTTAACCCGTTAACCCCGTCCCTTTTTACTGCTGAAGCTGACCCCTCAAGTCTGTGCTGAAACTGCTGCCTGGTCTCCTCATCTGTCTGTGACTTAAATGTTCAAACATGAAGTGCATTTGATTTTAAATGAAACCGTGACAACGAGGCCCTGTCAGCCTATTTTCTCAATCACTTTCTTACTATGAGCGATGGAGGTCTACATGAAAGCCAAACAGTTTCGGTCATTTCCATAAAAGATTTGTGTATTTGTTCCTCTCAGTGGTTTTAAGTGGGTGGGGCTCACTGAATCAAAACCCCATTTAAAAACAGATTAACTGAGTGTTTGTGGATGTTCATAACAAGATGCCATTAAATTGCAAGTCTCTGTTTGAGTCAGTCAGGAGATCTCCGTCTCTTACAAGACCCCAAAGCTTATGGAAGTGCAACGCTTGGTGGAGTACGCTTTTAAATAAAGTCATATTCATTATCTGTTCATTTGCAGTCAGTGCCTTTCTGAAGGCTCAGACATCAGCAGACACTGTGCTGGGGTTTCTGGATTTAGTTTGCTCTTCAGCAGGTGAAAAACAACATCTTTGATTTAGGTCTTGTGACCAACATGGCCTGTAATGTAAAAATCCCTATCCTGCTGCTTTTCCCCACAAAAAGGGAATATACTTCATATGAAAAATGGCTACAGTTGTGACACAGTTTACATAATTAAATGTAAACACCCTCAGATTAAAGCTGCTGATGTGTCAGAGCGCCACACAATGAAACACATAACTGCTCATACTTTCTGATTATTACCCTGTAAAATATTAAAATAATCCCCAACTAACAGTGCCGGTTTTGGGCCTTCACTCACTTGCTAGCGCCCGCTGTGTAGTCGTGTTTCAGAGGCGTTAAGGACCAGGACAGTGGCACCTCCAGGTTCACACACAGGATGTAGACACAGAGCAGGGAGATGACGGTCAACACGCCAACCACCAGCCTCCTCTGGAGGGCCATCCCCGTCAAGGTGTGTGCGACCGGCAGACTGAGTGTGTTCGCCCTGCCTGAAGGAACATCAGGAGGCAGAGGAGGCCGGCGAGGATGGTGTCCTGCTCTGGACTGTTTCCGGTCAACCAGGGAAGGCGGGGTGTCAGCGGAGGTGGGGATTTAATTAGCCCACAACAGGAGCTTGGCTCCACTCTGGGCTTCTCTCAGCACAACTACAGCAGGAGGGAGATTGAGAGAGAGAGTTGGAACGAGGGCACGACAGAAGGGGAAACTATATCCTTCAGTGTCAGAGTCCCAAATAATCCCTTTTTAATGAAACCTTTGCTCGCGACCTTGAACACAAAGTGCAGGGTCACAACAGTCATATCCTTTAACATCCTACTTCGATTCCTCACTTTTCTGCTCTCACTGTACAAAAAGGAGGAAACAAAAGAAACCTTTTGATCGCTCAAGTCAGCTGCAGCTGATGGGAGATGACACCGACACAGGAAGCCAGAAACCTTACAGGAAACCCGTTTGCCCCGCTTTTTGCAGTCAAACGTACGTTGAGAGTCTCTAGAAATTTCACCAGAAGTTGAAAACATTAGCATCCACCACGAGCAACTCCCCTCTCCACTTCCCAGCTCTTTGTTAAGTACTGTAATAAAACAGGCGCTGAAATCTGCTCTCTAAACTTCTGAAGTCAGGTCTCAAGATGCTTTCTCAAGTCCAAGCAATCCTCAAGAGATAACACTTGATAACTGGGTGAATTTGGAAGATAACAGCACTGACGACCAGGTGACGATACAATTTCACAGGCTTGGGGGAGTAGGTACTCCTGTGGCTAAATGGGGAATGGAAAGAATGTGTGATGCAGTGATAAACTCAGCTTCCATCTCTCTGATAACAGACATAACAGAAAACCTCTGGGGAATTTGTATTTTTCCTAGACCAAAATAAAAATTTGTAGTTTTAGCAGAAAATGTTTACTTAAACTAAGTGTTGTAAAAAAGGGATTAAACACAACATGGCTGAAGAAAAGAGCAGAATATAAGGAGGAGAAACAAAACACATGCATCAGACTGTGACAAATCATGATTCAACCTCCCCCTTCCTCCTACAGTCAGGACTCTCTGGTGTCTGTCTTTCCGTCTAACAGAAACAAAGCTCTTTAAATATAACACAAAAAGAAGAAATAAAGAAAAGTGAACGTTCTCTCACCAGTAGAAAATCTCCTGTGTTCTGTAGTCTCAGCCTCTCCTTCATGATGGTAGACATATTTCCTCTAAGTTGGGAGCTCTGCTGCTCATATACTGTGGAGCTGCTGCGCTGCCAGGCTCGGCGCTGTCTGGGCGGGACCATTGTGAAATGAGCAACAGCTGCTGGCAATTGGTCAACCCCCTCTAACTCCAGAGCATGAGGGGTGGGGGGAGAGAAAGAAGCCCACTCCAGGCTGCAATAAAGTTAGACATGAGCAGGCAGCTCTAAAGATCTTTGCAATGTGGGAAACCTTTTACCTACACACGTATACGAATGTACATGCACACAGAGACTGTCAGGTGACAAGCAGGAGCATGCAGCATGAACGTCTGCCACACAGCTGACAGCTTTCAAAAATCAAGACAGGATGACAGTTCACTCTCTCCACAGTCACGAGAGCCATTCACGCCATCCACACAGCCCTCCAGCAGGCAGGCAGTCAGCTGGGCACCGCAAGCCAAGCGAGAGTCAAGACTCGGTGCGCCTCTCCGGCTTCGGTGTCCTCTGTGAAAAGAAGCTAAATGCGCTGAGAGGGGGAGACACGGTTCTTTACACACCACCGGTCTGGAGGAAGTGAGCTGGGGGGGGGCGGGGGAGAAGTGGGTCAGCTCTGGACATTATTCCTGATGTATAGGCTGAAACATCCGTGAGGTGGTTTTAACTTGTCTCCATAAAAACACAGCTGAGAAGAAAGGAAGGACTGCAATTAGAGAACAACTGTCAAAAAACCCCAAAAATGTAAAATTAGAGAACATTTTTTTAAAAGAAAGTTTAATATTTTGAACACGACACTTTAGAAGTCAGTAAATATTTTCAGCTATTTTGGCTCATGATTTGGATTCCACAGTGGGAGTGGATGTGACTGAAGACACTTCTTCATCTTCGTCTCCAAACCCGTGAGTTACGGTCTGACAGCGAGGGATGATGGGAGGGCGGGGGACAGAAACAAGGAAACAATTGTCTGTTTTTTTCCACAGTGAACAGAAATGAGAAACACAGTGTGTCTTCCAAACACTCTTTGCTTTTTATTCTGTTTGCTGATAGATCAGCCGCCACCTTCTTCACAGTTTTCAAACCATCAGCATGAATAGCAATATAAGAAAACAGTGGGTTCAAGAACTACGTGTTAGGGCCCAGAGGTTACCAGACCGTATGAATCGTGGATGTAGTGACGTTACCCATAGGTTTCCATTGGCCCGATCCCAGTCTCCACACTCACAGACTTTAAGGTGCGTTCCTGTTAAATCTGAAAGTGTATGAGGGCCCTCTCGCAGACCTTTAGACCCCTTTATGCACACTAACTAACTCTGCATCCCTGCAGGCTGAGGGCGGAACCCACAGTTCATAGCATAGTGGCATTATCCAGTGACATTACTCCCGGAGGCGTAAAAAACAAACAAAAAGGAAACAAACATGACAGGACTTGAATTTACATGCAAGTGTATGATGATGTTTTGAAACTCAGGCAGCTGCCCCCTTAAGTGCCTTGGCCGTGAAAAAAATAGCCTAAACAACGTAAAATAAATAGTTCCAAACCCACCATTGCACAGTTGTAAATAACATGTTTTGGCGTCATCAAGGCCCTTGCAGCCTCTGGCGCCCAAGCGCTTATCAGGTGACGCATGTCAACAAAGTCTGTGAGGGTCCAGGCTTTGGGATGGAGACTGGGATTCGGGCCGTTGGCAGTGCCTGACTCTGGCTCATTAAAATATGGACACAGCGGTGGAGTTGAGGCGGGTTGCTGAACCACCTAGCAGCCAGCCACCTGAGAGGGCACCCACCTGTCAATCACAGCAGCCACAGCAGCCACATCCTTAAAGCTCGGGTAGGCAATGTCAAAGAATCAGCAAGAGAAGGCTAGATTTTGAAACTATAAATCTGAAAAAAATCCCCCACCCCCGCCTTCAAAGCCACTTCCCCAAAACACTGGGGCTCAGTTTGCGCAGGTATGAGAGAATTTCAACAAATATTGAAATAAATTGCCTACCCCAGCTTTAATTATGCATAACTGTAAACCTTAGTTTAAGCCCCGGAGGTTGAGACCTGGGTTTTACCTTCATACATGTAGAAATGGAAATCAAAACAATAACCCGACAACAGCTGGAATGGTTTGTACACAAAGTCACAAATAAGAAAAAAAAACAAACAAAAAAACAAACAGAGGGAACATTGTGAGTGTGTATCTGACACCACGAGGGTCATCTCAGGTCAAAGTGGGAGGGTGGCACACAAATACACAAAAGGCAAAGCTCATTGGCACTTGTAGGACGGGCATGCGTGAGGAATGCCAACAGCAGCAGAGCAGCGAGAGGCTGCGAGCAAACTGTGGCGCTTCGAGTCCTTCAGGCCTCCGCAACATGGTCCTCATGACTCAGCGAGTCTCATTTAGTGAGCGTGAGACCCACAGGGACATGTGACACACACCCACAACGCTCCGGTCTCTTATCTTATTTTTGTTCCATAAGGAGGGTTGGAACTGACTTGAATATTTGGCTTAACAGTTAACAAGTTGGACCTACCCCTCCACTACATCACACTTCATATGAACCCTTTACATTTTGGCTCGGACAACTTCCATGTCAGAAAAACCTGACATACTGTATTTAAACCATCTAAAAATGGCGTCGGTATAACATTCTGCCACAGCAGTTATCAGGTCTGCCGTGTAACTGTTTAGTGTTTGTGCAAAAGGAATGAAAAACACTCCATGTGTTGGCTCGCTCAGAGAAAAATGACTTCAAATCCTCGACCTCACTGGGGGCCAGTAACGCTACAAAGGGAGCAAGTGGGAAATAAATAAAGAACAGAGAAACAGAATAAATATTTTTCTGATATGAGGTCTAATTTGGAGGCTGTGGGGGATTTACAGCCACACCAGAATGTGGTCTTTGACATCAGGTTGCACCTAAATAACAGGCTTTACTTCCAGGTTTAGAGTTTCTCTCTGCAGCACAAACTCCTGTTACAGCTCCCCACCCCGCACCAACTCTATGGACCGTTGTTACTGAAATCTTATCCACAAAGACTTTCTGTGTTTGCGATACGACGGGCTTCGATCATCATTATAAGAGTTAACAAATTAGGAAAGAAGCAGGAACATTTTTTTGGAGAAAAGTGCTGAGGGTTCCCAGAGAGAATTACAAAACAGAAGCGGAGCATCCGAACACAGATAGTTCACATGTGAGCGTGACTCCAGGTCCCTCTTGAGTCTGATGTGTTTTGTCGCAGTGCGGCCTCTGAATCAGGCCGGGCAAAACCCATATGGCTTTTAACATACCTCTGGTCACATGCCTCGTGCCGCCTCAAACCCTCCTGCCGCCCGTCTCTGTCCCAGCTCTGCTTTCCTAATCCTACAAACATTTTCTATCCGCATTCCTTCTTCCCTACACCCCCCCGCCCCCCCAATCCTGTTTTTTTCTTCTTCACATCCAGAAACTTCGTCATCTCTCTTTGACGTGCCATCAGATCTGCCACTTTTCTTCACTCCCTTTGCTTCGCTACACATCCCGTCGCTCTTTCTAGCAACATTCTACTCGCACGCACTCTAACTTTAGTCTGTAACCGGTGTTAGTAAATGACCTTCTAACGTCTTTGTTAGATCCTAATTTTGGTTTAAGACACACATAAACTGTTCAGAGCTGGACACGGGGCTGTAGCTGAGGAGAGGTTATAGATCCTGTAATTAGCACTCGCCTCGAGGGCGCACTGGGACAAATCACACGACTCAGCAGATGAACGGCATCAGGAGCACGACTCGGTACAGATAGGAAGTCGTGCTGTAGCTCTGATGCTGACTGGTCCTCCAGACAGAGCAACCCCCCCGCCCACCTTCTCTTCTTCCACTTTATTCGAGGGCAGGCCTGGGCGGGTTTCAGGAACATCTGGAACAGTTCTGTGGCAGCTCTGTGGGGAACAAGGAGGCACTCCTGCTCCAGACTGCAGAGGGAGGGAAGAGGTGCGTACAGTCACAAAAAAAACAGCAGCAGGAGAAGGGAAGAAGAATGGGGAGTCCATCCCATGTCTTTTCATCTGGTACCACCTCGTCTATGGCATTCGAGTGAGGGAAGTTCCAACACAACATGCTCCTTCATGCCTGCAGGGGAGGGGGGGACCTATACAGTGAGGCCCCGTGCATCTCCCCATTTTGTATTTTTCAGATGAGGTAGGACAAGGTTCACTCACTTATTCAACCCTCTGAAGTTCCACAGGTTCAGTCTTGCTTGCAGGAACGACATCCAAAGGGGGGTAAAAAAAAAAATCAGGTGGTGGTCTGAGCCACACTATACAGCTCAGAGCAGAAGGAAGAGGGGGAAGATGGAGGGCAGAGAGCGGAGGTCCAGATGAAAACAGGCCTTCCTGACAGTCACTTCTCCAGCAGCTGCTTCCTCTGCTGCTCCCACAGGGCCTCCAGATGATCCGCCCTCTTCAGGGCAGCCTATCAGAGGACAGGGGCGATATTTATACATGCTGTCAGTCGTCTCTGCCCAACTTTGTTTTCTTGTTTATCATGCTCTGACAGAAAGACGCTGCCTGCGCTTCGTCAGGCCACTCACCTCATGCTGCTTCCGGAGCTGACTGACAGTTTCTTCCTTCTTCAAGATGGCCGACTTCACTCTGGCAAATCAGGAAAAAGAGGTCGTTAATTAGGGGCCACTTCTTGACAGAAAAAAAAATAAATAATAAATAAAAGGTGAGATGATTTGATTTGCTGTTTTCCTATTAGACAATAATAATGGAAGTTCTAACATGAATCAAGCAGGAAGCTTCCGATCAGAGAACTGATGCGAGCGCGGACGTCCCTGAAACCTGCATTCTATCAAACGGCCAGCAGGGGGCGACTCTTCTGACTGCAAAAATAAGTCCGGTTCCTTTAGAAACAATGGTAAAATGTTTCTACTTCTCAGCTGATTTATTCCCTCAGTAAACTCTTTCCTGATGAGTTTATGGTCTCAGTCGCTAGTTTCAAGTCTTCTTCAACACAGCGTGATGTTCATTTAGTAAATTATGGTCCCGTTTAGAGGAACAGAGACCAGGAAGCAGGGGAGGCTTTAGGGCGGGATTAACTATGATTGACAAGTCGTTACCATGGGAACCTCACAAAATTATCAGCCCTGTTA